AGATGGGGGGGGAGATGGAGAGAGAGAGGGGGGGATGGCGAGAGAGAGGGGGGGATGGCGAGAGAGGGGGGGGGGAGTAGGAGAGGGGGGGAGATAGAGAGAGAGGGGGGGGAGATGGTGAGAGAGAGGGGGGAGAGATGGAGAGAGGGGGGGGGGGGAGATGGCGAGAGAGGGGGGGGGGATGGGGAGAGAGGTGACCATGATTCGTGGTCTCGGCCCGGGGTGTGACGCGTGTTCATGGAGGCTTTAGGAGGGGTGGAGAGACTCAGAGGTTGACAGTTCTCCGATAGTTTTGTTCTGATCTCTCTCTGTTCGCTCTCTCTGATATCTCTCTCTCTGTGATCTCTCTGTGTGTGATCTCTCTCTCTGTGATCTCTCTCTCTCTGTGATCGCTCTCTGTGTGTGATCTCTTTCTCTGATCTCTCTGTGTGTGATCTCTCTCTGTGTGATCTCTCTCTGTGTGTGTGATCTCTCTCTCTCTGTGATCTCTCTGTGTGTGATCTCTCTCTCTCTGTGATCTATCTCTCTCTCTCTGTGTGATCGCTCTCTGTGTGATCTCTTTCTCTGATCTCTCTCTGTGTGTGATCTCTCTCTCTCTCTCAGCCGTGGAGAGAGGAGAGAGCGGGGTGAGAGCGAGCTCGCGTGATTAATGGCTCTAATTAATGCCCGGGGCGTTCCCATTGATTGGGCGCCCGGCGTCATCGCGAGCGCCTTCAAATGATCGCGACCTCTTGCGCTTAGCAGCGAGGGGGGTGAGTGGTGGGGGGGGTGAGAGTTGGGGGGGTGAGTGGTGGGGGGAGGTGAGTGGTGGGGGGGCGAGGGGGGGCGATAGTTGGGGGGGTGAGTGGTGGGGGGGCGAGGGGGGGTGAGAGTTGGGGGGGGGGGTGAGTGGTGGGGGGGATGGTGGGGGAGCGGTGGCGCAGTGGTTAGCGTTATACGCTGCGCGACCCAACAGCGATTGTCTGAATCGATCCTGAGCCTCCCCCAAGTCGACTCAGCCTAAAATGAGAACTGACTAAATTATCAATCGCGGCATTCACTTCCGCACTACTACAAATTGCCCGCGCTACCGCGCGCTCTGTTGGTGACCCAGCACCGTTCACGAAGGGCGGCCGGGCGTGGTGCTGTCCGCCCATAACCTCGTGCGCCGTGCCGGCCTTCATAGGTCCTCGCCAACAGCATTTGCCCCAACAGTTTGTGTTCAGGCTATCCGGGGGATCTTTGTCGTGGAGGGACAAGGGGTGGGGGTGGGATGAAATGAAATGGTTCAGTAGTTCCACTGCTGGATTATGTTTTTCCGCCTGAGGACGACCGCTTGTGTTGCGATCGAAACGTCGTGATTTATTATAATTCTTTCTACCTACGTGACTTTACCGAAAGAACCAAAGAGTATGAAAAGACGAATTAAATCCCTGATATGTAATGCACGAGCAGAACAAATGGAGCTTCGTGTGTGCGAGTGGGGAGTGTTTGGTGTTCGGCCGGATCGAAGGGGGCTAGACGGGCGCGGCACGGGCTAGAGAAGAGATGGAGCTGATGCGGCACGGGAAGATGTGGAGCTGAGTGGACTTGCCGATGACCGGTACCAGCGGTGTCAAGATCGGCCTCTGTCGAGGAGGCTCGTGAAGGACGCTGCTGCTGCTACTGGGCAGTTGGAGGCAGTCGCCCTCCAGCAACAAGGGAGGGCAGAGGAGCGACGCTCACAACAACGAGCGGAGCGCCGGGCGGATAAAGCACAGCATTTTTGCACAGTAGGGGGCACAGGTGGTGCATCGGCCAGTCATCTCAGTCAGTCGACCCGTGACCTCCTGCCAGCGGGCGTTCGATACTTCACGTGTCTCAACGTGCACCTAGCCTGGCACAAGCGCCGTGGTGACGTCTTATGTCGCCTGCTCAGCCGCCGCAGAAGTCAATCGCGCCCACTGCGTCACTCACCAGCCACGTGGGTTGAATTCCCGGGGAGGGTCGGGTTGGCGTCGAGTCCGATGATCCTTGGCACACGCATCGCCAGCTCGCACCGACTCGATATGCGTCAGTGGGTGTGTGTGTAGGCGTGCGCGTGTGTGTGCGTGTGTGTGTGCGCGTGTGTGGGGAGCGGTGGCGCAGCAGTCAGCACGCTGTGCTACGAGCCTGGCGACCCGAAATTCGATTCCGACTCGCTGCGAAACCAACACCGGTCACGATTGTCTGAACCGGTCATGGGCTTCTCCTAGGTCGACTCGACCTCAACTGAGTACCTGGTGCGGCCACTCGGGGAGACAAAGGCGGCCGGGCGTAGTGCTGGCCACCCGCCACCTCTTGTGCCGTGCCGGCCTTCAAACAGCACTTGCCTCAACGGTCTGTTTCGACTATGCGGGGGATCTTTGTCTTTGTATGGGTGTGTCAGTGTCAGTGGGTGTGTCCATAGGTGTGTTCCAGTTGGCGATTGCGAAAGTCACCCCTCCGGATAGAGTCATCCTGTTGGGTCACATTGATGCCCGGTTGGTCATGACGCAGGCACCTGGGCTGGGGTCATTGCAAGTTGGCACAGTAGGGGGCACAGGTGGTGCATCTGCCAGTCATCTCAGTCAGTCAACTCATGACATCACCTGGGTCTGGTCTCGTGACCTCCTTGCCAGCGATCCTTCGACACTGAGTGTCGAATGGCGGTTGTTGTTGTGCCAGTATGAGTGGTGTGTAAACATCAACACTGGGGAGACAAAGGCGGCTGGGCGTGGTGCTGGCAACCCTCCCCCCCCCCGTGCACTATGCCGGCCTTCGCTCATTGCACTTGCCCTGGCAAACCTATACGTCTACCAGGGGGATCTTTGTCTTTGTTGCGGAGAGCGGTGGCGTCGTGGTTAGCGCATGGCTCAAGGCAAGCCGCGTGAGATGTTAACTACCTCGCCCAGTACACAGCAAGTCGTGGGTTCGATCCGGACCCTGACGCCTGTCTATTTGGAGTCTGTGTGTCTCTCTCCCCGTGGTCGCGTGGATTTTCCTCCGGTTTTGTTCCCCTCCGCGTTCAGAATCAACGCGCGTTCGGAGAAAATTTCGGCCGCTACAAATTTCCAAACGACGACGAAAAGCCCACTTCGTTTGGGCGATCATTCGTGGCCCAGATCGCCTCTGAAATATATCTCCGTAGCACAGTGGGTGGGGGAGCCATACCTGGTAATATAACGAAAAAGATTTGTTTAGTTTAGAAAATTAAACAAATGTGTTTAGTTTAGAAAATAAAATAAAATGTTTAGAAAAAAAAAATTAGTTTAGACAATTTAAAATTGTTGTCTAGTTGAGAAAAAAAATGTGGTTTAGTTTGAGTCTACGGTTATATGGCGACCGTTGCCACCAGCGCCAGCAGCGAGACGTCCGTGCCGGTGACGCCTCGCACCGCAGACACCGCGACATCATCACGAAACAAGCGCGAGCGGGTGCAGCTCGGGGCGCGTGGTTAATTAATGTTAATTATTGCCCAACGCAGCCACGGAAATAAACCGACGTCGCTCGTTTGCCGACGAAACGCAAATTTTATTTTTGTAAAAAAAAAACGAATAAAAATGGATTTAACCGATTGCGAAGACAACTTGTCAAAGCAATCCCTGAATCATCATCATCATCAGCACCACCGTGGGTTGTATTTACTTTGCGAGTAGTGTTAATACTGGGTGGGAGAGAGGAGCGGTGGTGCAGCAGTTAGCGCGTCGCAATGTGAACCCGGCGATCACCCAATTCCGTCACCCCCCCCCCCCCCTCGTGGCCCTTCACTTCATCCAACAGTGGATTTCACCATCACTCGGTAAATACAGTTTTAACGTTAACGCAACCTTCAGGCCACGCGACATGCAGCTTAAGCAGCAGGAAGCTTATACGCGTCGAGTCTTCAGAAATAGCCCATGTCTTTCGTGTACGCCAGGTGGTGCGTGCGTGTGCGTGCGTGTGCGTGGAACCAAGGGCCAGATACGAGTGGCAATGCAGAGGATCTCGGAAGCCAAGCAGGTCTAGAGCCTGGCCAGCCCTCGGATGAGTGGACCACCATGCGGAGCAGGTGCCAGGGACTGGCGCGGAGTCACCAAGCAGCGCAGGGTGACACACGTCGGTCACGTGGTGAACGGTCACGTGTTGAAAGGTCACGTGCTGGTCACGCGTTGGACAACGGAAGAAGCATGCAAGCAGGAAATAACAAACAGTCCTTACGCCGACGGAGCGAATCACCGTTGTCTTCCCGATCTCACCTCCTCCTGCCTTCTGTTCGTGTCTATTTTCGTCCTCGCTTTAAGTGATACAGCCACGGTGCCCCGCTCCCCCCCCCCTCCAAGTCTGAAAACTATAAAACTAAAGTATTTTTATTTTACCAGCTAAGGCCCACTTAGCTCCATACATCTTTTTCACTTCATCCTTCACACGCGCGGCGCTCAGAGATTCCGTTATTTTAGGGCGGATTATGAATCTACATTCTAATTCTTTATTATTTTTATATCATCATCATCGTCGTCTAGAGGGTTATGCGTGTCTCACTTCTACACGTGGTCTCATTCGTTCGAACTAAGCTAACAATTGCATACGGGTACACGTGACGCGCGTATCATTATTTGCACGCTTGCATACATTGGTGCTTTTCTCGAGGAAACTCCACCGCGCCGTCACGCTGCCTGCCATCAGCACCTCCACCCCCCGCCCTCCCCGCTCCCCCCCACTCCCCCCCGCCCCCCCGTCGCCCCCCCCCCCCCGCTTCCGCCGCCACATATAATACTGTACGATTAGAACAAAAATAGAAAAAAACTGAAAATAGTTAGGCACGTTTCCTGCACGTGCAGCCGGTGCGAAACGTCGGACGCTGCGTCGATCCGCGCACGGCGACAGACCAGGCTGACGACGAACACCGACTCGGTAACTCAACGGCCGCCCCCCGGCACCGCAAAACCCCCTCCCCCCCCCACGGTAACCCCCCCCCCCCCCCACAGCTGCCCACCCCCCCCCCCCGGCACAGCCACCCCACCCCACCAGATTATTTTGTACAGAAGCTCTACACCGCAGTAGAGAAGTAGTTACTGTATCGTCAGCAGAGATGACGACGAGGTCTGCCGGCGTGAGCCGCGCTGAGACAACTCCACGCTCTCCGTGTCTGCATTTCCCTGAATTCTGCCTCACTCGAGTCTGGCTTCCAGCGGTGCGAGCACCGGGACCTCCACCGTGATGAGCACCATGACCCCCACCGGGACCTCACCGTGACCCCCACCGTGACCCCCACCGGGACCCCCACCGTGACCCCCGCCATGATGAGCACCGGGACCCCCACCGGGACCCCCACCGTGGCGAGCACACACAAACCACCCTCCGGCAAACGCGTCGCCAGCAACGATCGCTCCGGAACCTCGCCAGCGCATCGTGGCGCGCCAGGCCGCCCGCCCGCCTCAGGGGGCGGCCGACAACACCAGCGGCGGGGCCAGCGCCGCCGCCACCGCGGGGAGGAGGAGGAGACCAAGGAGGGCGGCGCCAGCGGGACGGCTCCACGCCGGGCCCCCCGACGACATCTCGCACTGGCACCGCACGCCGTGCCTCTCGTCGCCACCGCCGCCGCCGCGTTCGGGAACGTCTCCCGGGCCGCCGGGGGCGTCGGGCGCCGGAGGCTCGGCGAGGTTGCAGTGCATCCAGTCGTTGGCGATGGACTTGGGGTACCCGCGCTCCACCTCGAGGCTCTGGTCCATGAACTTCCAGTAGTGGTGGCCCTTGAAGAAATAGGTGTGGCCTGCGCGAGGTCGGCACAAGTAACGATGATTATTTATAACATTCTGAAACTATTTTTGTCTTACCGGGTGAGGGCCCACCGAGCTGGATGGCTCTCTCTTTCAGAAGCGACCTGACAATCGCAATTGATAGCGCGCCGGGAGAGGCCCCTCATCGTCACGTGGACATTTAGAGCAGCCACATGCTCTCTTCAACGCGTGACGTTGATTTTCAACGTGCGAGAGACGAGCCGGAGGAGCCGGAGGCGTCACGGGCGTGGACGTCTCGCTGCTGGCGCTGGTGGCATCGGTCACCATCAACCGTAGACTCAAACTAAACTACGTGTGTTTTTTTCTCAACTAGACAAAAATTTAAAATTTTCTAAACTAAACACATTTTTTTCTAAACTAAACAAAATGTTTTAGTTATTTTACCAGGTATGGCGCCCCACCCACTGAGCTATATTTCAGAGGCGACCTGGGCCACGAATGATCGCCCAAACGAAGTGGGCTTTTCGTCGTCGTTTGGAAATTTATAGCGGCCGAAAAATCCACGCGACCACTGGGAGAGTGACACACACGCAAACTCCAAATTTCCAGCAGGCGTCAGGGTCGAGATTGAACCCGTGACACCTGCTGCGAACCAGGTGAGGTCGTTAACATCTCGCCACGTTTGTCATAGGCCTGTAACTGTAACACGCCTGGAATGGGATCCGCCCGGTTTTCAGATCTCCGAAGCTCGGCAGGGATTTGAGCCTGGACAGCGCTTTCATTGGGCACACCACCGTCGTACCGTACTCCTATGCTACCCTGCCTTCGCCAACACACACCGACGAAGCGTGGTGAAGTATGGTCAAACGACCCCCACCACGATGACCGACGCGGCACGGAGGGGAACTTCATCCAGCGGTGCATTGACACGTGGGTTTGCGCGTGCACGGTAATACCGGGGGAAGCCGATCCTCTTATCCGCCGTCACGTGGCGGGACAAGGATCCTATTATCCGCAATTTTACTCTTCTTGCCCGCGGGATCAAAACTTTGCGGCCGACTTTGCCGCGCGGCTCGTCTTCCCCGCGGAAAAAAAAAAATCACGGATAATAGGAGTGACAATGAAGTGGCGTCCGATAACAGTGGATAACCCTGTGGGGTAACGGGATGAATTTGCTGCGGCTGTTGTTGCTGCTGCTACGAATACGATTATTTACGCGAATGCGGAAATTGGACGCTCGCTCAGTGTGCCCGCTTCATGGTTCAACTGTGTCAAGTTTGAAATAAATGACACTGCAAATGACTCATTTGGGAGTATACACAGCGGCAACTATCGCCACCCCTTGCTGACAGACCACGGGAATTCCCCGTGTCTCGTTGACGAACACCCCCCGCCTCTGATCAACCACCATTCACACAGCGCCGGGCACTAGACGGGCGGCGGCAATTTCCCCAAAGCTCTGTCGTCCTACATCGTGACGTGTTGGTTCACTCCACCGCCACCGCTACGAGCGGTAAGCTGAGCGGCCGCGCGCTCACCGTCGGTCCAGCTCATGGCGTCCACGTGCTGAGGGACGCCCTTCCACAGGCTCGTGTCCTTGGGGTAGCCCGGGTCCATCCTGCGCTCGCGGTCGTCATAGCGCCAGTAGTTGGAGCCCTTGAAGAAGTACGTCTTCCCGTTGTGCTCCCACACGAAGGCCGCGTCGACGCCGGACTCTGGCAGCCCGAAGTCCGTCACCGGGCGCGGGTAGCCGTCCATCATTTGGTTGTCGCGGAAGACCCAGTACTCGTGACCTGCGTGGTGGGTGGGAGGTGGAGGTGGTGGTGGTCATGGTTTTGTGTTTGTTTACAACCCCCCCGCAGAGGGTCTCTCTCTAGAGCTTCCTCGAAGTGGAGAACCCCCCTTCCCGCCAACGGCGGCGCGAGCACAGCAGCCGCAGGGCTGCGCCTTTGCCTCTGCCTTTGTTTACCTTTTCAGGAGTTAATTTATGGTGCACAACGGCGCGCCGCTGCGATGTTAGTGAGAGTTTTCCCTGCGACGTTAGCGAGGGTTTTCACTGCGACGTTAGCGAGAGTTTTCCCTGCGACGTTAGCGAGAGTTTTCACTGCGACGTTAGCGAGAGTTTTCACTGCGACGTTAGCGAGAGTTTTCCCTGCGACGTTAGCGAGAGTTTTCACTGCGACGTTAGCGAGAGTTTTCCCTGCGACGTTAGCGAGAGTTTTCCCTGCGACGTTAGCGAGAGTTTTCCCTGCGACGTTAGCGAGAGTTTTCCCTGCGACGTTAGCGAGGGTTTTCACTGCGGCCCAGATTCTACCTCGATGAAGAGACGGGATTCCACTTTCAACCGGCGCTGTCTCTCTCTCTCTCGCCAGTTCAAAAATTAAGATCCCTCCGTTTCTCTCTCGTCTGTGGCTGTTGCCAAATTATATCGGGGTGGGGGGGGGCGGTGCGTTAATCCAGCACCGAGAGCCAAAGCAAACCATCATCTTTTCAGCCTTGCGGGAATAAGGGTTGGTAATAATTTTATTTTCTTAAAATGTTTGCTTGATGAAAATCCCGTTTGACTTTTTCAAGTTACATTACGTAAACGCATCGGGCCCCCGGCACTGGCTCGCCATCGCAGGCGACCCAGCCTTGTCATCTTTAATTCCCCTGAAACGGCCCCAATTGGACGTTTGTTTAAAGTAAAAATAAAAAATTTCTACTTTTTTCTCTCTCTCTCTGTGTGTGTCTCTCGGAAACGAAGTCCCCCTCCCGATATCTGTCCCAGTCGTTTAAGTTCCGAGCCGCGAGGAGCTTTCTCGCCGTCTCATTAACGATCGCCGGCGCGGAAAGAAAAGAACTCGTTTAAGAAACGCGGCGGCTGCCGCTGGCGTCGCCACCGCCACACCCCCGCCGTCACCGCCGTCGCTACCGCGGCGCAACCCGTTCAGAATCAGAATATTTAGACCGGAGGAATCCGATGAGCCACAAAGCCCTTTTTACGCAGCGTCCACCACGCCCGGGCTGCGTGCTCCACCAATCCCGCCGACGGCCTCCAACCCAAAACGGCTCGGTTGAAATCCCGCGTGGTGCGGGTGTCACAATTCTAGCCCAGCCGCGGTGGAGACGGAGACCGGCTGCGAGACCGCGAGATTGCGAGCGGGTGGCAGCGGTGGCGCGGGGGAGGTCCTCGTCCGGCGGCGGATTGACAACGCGCAGCGCGTTCGGGGTGAGTTCGGGTCGGAGCATTTCGGATTCTGGAGAAAAGTTTTTCTTGTTGCTCTTCCCTTGCCTACGTGAGACGACGTCGCCGCCGACAATCGCGGCGCCACGTGACGCAGGCCACGCGATGCAGGCCACGCGACGCCGCGGTTGGAAAGGGAAAATCACGGGAGTGGCGTCACGTCCGCGACATCGCATCCTGTTTGCGGATCGATCCGATGCACGACACGATGCCTCGTGTCGTTCCGACGTTCCGTGACCATGTCTCAAGTTTATTTGTTGTTTTTTCTCCGGACTGATCTGTCTGTGCGTGTGGCATCGAAATGGGCACGCGTTTCACAAGGGGGAGGGGGGGGGGATAATTGGATGCTATAAATACACGCGGCGTCGTGAGGAAGAAGCTGCCTCGTGCAATCTAACACTTGATCATTATTCTAATGACTGTAATTATTTAAACCGAAACCACCATAATTTTTTCTGGTGCGCTGGGACGCGAGTGGAAGTGGAGGAGCCGGCGGTCGACGCACCAACAGATCCGGCGACGTCAGCCGGCGATCGTGGCTGCTGCTGATGATGATGATAACGATGACGATGATGACAGGTCATGGGGGGGGGTCACCGTCGAGGAAGAGGAGGCTGCGACGCGTGGTAACGACCGATTGCCATCCGTATTCGTTTCCTGGTGAGGTCACCTCGTGATGGTGCGAAAATTCTTGACGCCGAACCCTCCACCGCCCGACGAGACCGTTCAGGCCACCACGTGGCTGAACGCCCAGAAAGAAGTGCAGGATCGTCGTACCGGCGAACAAAAACCTACGCTCGGATCTTACGACCAATCGCCATCGATGAACACCGATCGGTGACCGGCGAATCGTAAGGTCGCAGGTCACGCAGGGTGGATGGCGAGGGCGCGGGGTGAGGGACGGGGTGAGCGGGGGGTGAGGCAGGGGGGGGAGGGGTCACCTCGGAAGAAGAGGATGCGGTGGTCGTCATGGCGCTCATAAATGGCGTCGATCTTATCGACGTGGCTGGGGAAGCCCTTCCAGAAGCGCTCGATCTGCGCCGGCTGCAGCGACACCAGATGCCCCTCGGCCATCCGCCTCCAGAAGAAGCGGCCTGCCAGAGGTGGGGCGGCGGTGGGGGGTAGGGGTCACAGGGTGGGTTTGGTCACGGCCGTCGCTGTTAACCCGGCCCGCAGTGCACCGACGATGGCCAAGCTTAAAACAAAAAGTACCGGCGGAACGTCAAATCGAAAGCCGTCAAGATAAAAAAAGGTTACCCTGATGATTCTTGTTGAGCGATATCAAGCGATTCGTAATTGTGTGTTTTTATTACGGATCGTAACGCTGGACCACGACAGCCGACGCATCGATATCGATGGTGCAGCGCTTTATTTTAAACGTACAGGCCCACCCTGCCCCCCCCCCACCACCAAAAGGACTCAAAACGCCAAGCAGCCCGCAACAAACAGCACCGTCAGCGTCAAACGGGACGTACGTCACAGTCACGGGTGTTTAGCGAGTAGAAAATGTCACTCTAATCCGAGCATCTGCAGGTAATGCAGTTCCAAGGGGCTCCATCACCGTGCCTGCGAACGTGGCCTGCAGAAGCGGACATCACAGAGCTACTTCCGGTCAACACGGCAGGGGGCAGCACTTCCCCACCCGCCCCTCTGCCACCGGTGTAACCGTGATGTTGTTTGCGCCGCAGTCGGACGGACGACAGCTTTATCTCTCGGGAGCGAGAATGTAGCCACTGTAAGTGACAAACCGAACGTGCGATTCGATTTTCCGAGCACCCGATTGAATCCGCGTGCCGTCGCCCGGATTTGAACCCAGGCTCTCGGCGGCGGCCGTCTCAGGGGGTGGCCGACCTCTTGACCCCTGACCCGCCCGACAGCGCTTCCTAACGAGGCTGCTCCCCAGCATCTCACGTCGCGAGAAACGCGAAGGGCTCTGGAAATCTCATCACGGGCTCTGAGAATAAACGATCGGGACAGATAACGCGGGGGGGGGGGGGGGGTGAGGAGAGGGTGGGGGGGGAAGGGGTGCGAAAGGAGAGGGGGACACGATTGCGAGGAGGAGGAGGGTGAAGTTAATTGGGCCGTACGGACGCGTCCAAAATCATAACTCAAGAAGGTCGCCGGCTTAAAGAGCACGGCAACCGCTGCGCCACCACTCCGCCCTCCCCATTTTTACAAACAACGCACGGTGATCCATTTATAGAGAGGCGGGGAGAGCGGCGGGGAGAGCGGCAGGGAGAGCGGCAGGTGACAGGGTCTCAAATCTTGTTTGGGGCGCCGACTCAGCCCATCATCTTTCTGGGGTCGACAAAATAGGCACCACTTTGCGAGTTCGTCAATATTGGTTTTCCCGTGGATGGACCTGTCGCCCTCACCGCAGCAATGTGGAGCTTCCACCGCTGTCTCGGGGCTCGTGAACAAGGGCACGCGCGGTCGATTCGCTCGCTCGGACTTTTTACTTGTGTACACTTGCGTTTACTTTGCCGCAACGGGGGGGAAGTGAGAGAGGGCCGTTAGACAGGAGCGGGGCGGGGGGGGCGGTATCTGCGGATGGGTCACCCTGGGTCATGGTTCGGCATCCTTTCAATGAAGAAGAGGAAGAGGGAGAGGAGGGAGCCGTTGGCTTTTGCTTTTGTGTCATTGACCAAAATAGTCTTGTGAGCCTCATCGCACGCAGCGCTGCTTGCACACACACACAGCAGTGGGGACGCAGCAGACGACAACACATTCCGACTCAAATAAACAAAACGCGCTTACGGAATAAACTGCGTCTATTTAGTTTCCTCCGCCCCCCCCCCGCCCCCCTCTCAGTCATTCTTTGACAACACAGTTCGACTGTGTGTACATTTTGTCGTCAGCAAGGCTTCCCGTAGTGACCCCGTTCCCTGCCACATTCAATTCATTATCTCTACGTGAAATCACGGTGAAGATTTGTGTGTCAGAAAACGGCTGTCCGCGAGGGGGGCAGCTAAGGAGCCGAAAGGGGGGGGGGGGCAGCCAAAGAGCAGATCGTGACTCCGGAGCGACTGGTAGCCGACCCCTGGCCTGGACGGAGGTCGCGATGGCCGCGTGGCCTCGCTCGAAGGTGGTCACCTTTGAAGAAGAACGCTTCCCCCCGGATCTGCGTGACGGCGTCGAAGTGTCCGTGGCAGCGATCCGGGATGTCAGTCCTCGGCCTGAGAAATCGGGAGTTGCGTTTTTAAACATCTCGTGATAATGGAAACAATCGTCATCATCGTCGTCATAATAATGGAACCGTTGAATAAAAATGTTTCATCCATGTCAGATTAAGCACAATAACAAGCAGCTCTTATCTTGTAGTTCACACCCCCCCCCCCCCCCCCCCCCCCCCCCCACGTTTACATCAGGCACTCGTTTCTTCTGGCGCGGTCGGCTACGTGCAAGCGAAAGAAATTCAACGTGCCCATCGCTTGCGCATCGCAACTCGAACGAAGACGTCGCGAGAGCGCTACGACGCCAGCGAGGTTGCCCGGCGTCGATTCAAAGTCTTTCTTTCTCCTCGTCGAGTCTTCATCATCCATCAGGATGACGATGACGGCGACTTCCCCCTTGAGGCTCGCGCGAGGTCGACCTCTGACCTCTGACACCCCCCCCCCTCCCCCCCGCGGCACTCACCGGATTGTGACCGGGAGCTTCGGTCGTTCGGGCAGGACAGGATGCTGGGGGAGGTCGGTCGGCCAAGACCCCACAGTGGGGGAAGCCCGGTTGGGGCCTGGGATGATGGGGGGGGGGGGGGGGCGGGAAGGGGAGGTAGATAAGCACGTGGAGCGAAACGTCGGACAACGTGCCAAACGTCACGCGATCACAACCCGAAGACACGTCGGACAACTCGTAGGCGGCGGCGCTGATCTCCCCCCTCCCCCCCTCCCCCCCCTCGCTCTCTCGCTCGGAAGGCGGCGGGAACCCCCCCATGTGTCCCAGAGGTTAATTAAAGAGCCTCGCTGGCCTGACCTTTGCCCTCCCCACCCCGGGGCCTCCGGTGCGGCTATCACCTCGAGCCGCAGGGAGCAGGGGGGGGGGGGGCGGTGGCGGCGTCAATAGCAACAACGTCGATCGCGGAGCCCGAGATACGGAGAGCCGCAGCGGCGACGCCGGCAGGGGGTCCCTCCCGTACGCGCCGCGAGATGCCGTTCGGCGATCCTTCTATCGCTTCCGTTGCTTTTGTCCACCCTCCTTTCACGACTCCTGTTCTCTCCCAGGGAACAGGAGTCGCGAATCGGCTGCGCCGCCGCGCGAGCGGACTGCTCGTTGCGCGCGACTTGCGACGATTGCCGACGACGGAGCGGTTTCGACGCGGCCGTCGGGGATCGGTTCGGATCGACGCAGCGGATCCGTCGTGACTCACCCGCAGTCCCCCCGATATCTCCAGTCACCCCCCCCGCCCCCCTATCCTCCGCAGCCCCCCGCTTGCCTCCTACCCCCCCCCCCCCCCGCTTGCCCCCAACCCACCCCCCGCTTGCCCTCTACCACTTTCCCCCCCCCCCGCTTGTCCCCTACCCCCCCCACCCCCCACTTCCCCCCCCCCCCCCCCCCCCGCTTGCCCCCTACCCCTTCCCCCCTCCCCCACTCACCGTAGAGCTTCCAGATGCCCTCGCGGTCGTCCTGGGGGAGCCGGTACTTGGTGGGATCCCCGGCGGGGCCCGCGTAGTACGGGCGCATGATGGAGTCGGAGGAGGAGGAGTGCGACAGGCCCAGCGCGTGGCCAAACTCGTGCACGGCCACGGCGAACACGTCCGTGCCCGACCCGTCTGCGTCCCCCGCACACACAGGGAGATGTTGACCACCTCGCCTGGTATGCAGGAGGTCGTGGGTTCGATCCCGAACCGGACGCCTGCTGTATATTTGGAGATTTGCGTGTCTCTCTCTTTCATCATCATCGACACGGTGGCTCGGAGATGTTAACTACCTTGCCTGGTATGCAAGAGGTCGTGAGTTCGATCCGATCCTGACGCCTGCTGCTGTATATTTGGAGATTTGCGTGTCTCTCTCTTTCATCATCATCGTCACGGTGGCTAGAAGATGTTAACAACCTCGCCTGGTATGCAGGAGGTCGTGGGTTTGATCCAGAACCTGATGCCTGCTGTATATTTGGAGTTTGTGTGTTTCTCTCTCTCATCATCATCACGGTGGCTCGGAGATGTTAACAACCTCGCCTGGTATACAGGAAGTCGTGGGTTCGATCCCGACGACCTGCTGCTGTATATTTGGAGTTTGCGGTGTGGTCTCTCTCCCCGTCATGGTCACGTGGATTTTTTTCCTCCGGGTTCCCTCCGGTTTTGTCCATCTCCACATTTAGAGCAACCCGGATGTGAGTCTCAACTGCAGGAATGCCCCGGGCCATGCGGAGGCAGCTCTAGAGACTGAGTCAGGGGTGGGGGGAAGTGGGGAGAGGCCCCTGCGTTAATTATAAACACTACTCAATGCATTTTATACCGGTAAATATCACTAAAAATACCCATGTTCAGGGTCTCAGGCTCAAGGGTGGGCCGGGGGTCGGGGGGGTGGGCTGGGGGGGGGGGGCAGCAATCAACCTGCAGTGGCTAAGGGATGTTAACTACCTCGCCTGGTATACAGGAGGTTGTGGCTTCGATCTCGACCCTGACGCCTGCTGCTGTATATTTGGAGTTTGCGTGTCTCTCTCTCTCTCATCATCATCACGGTGGCTCGGAGATGTTAATTACCTCGCCTGGTATGCAGGAGGTCGTGGCTTGGCTTATGAAAAAGACCTATACAGATCAGTGGGCCTTACCTGGCAAAATAAGTAATAGTTCATAGTTTTAACTCCCCATTGCCCCCCTCCCCACCCCTTCCCCACTCTCCGGGATCCGCCACCTAGGACCGGCGGCAGCGGAGAGAATCGCGACGATGCGGGCCGGAGTTTGCGGAAGAGCTGTGGAGGAGATGCGGAGAAGATGCGTACCCGTGTCTCCGTACGTCCACGTCTCGTCGTCGTCGAAGTGCGTATCTCCGGCCGCCGAGTATTCGCCGGGGAAGAAGGCGTGCGCCAGCATGCCGCCCGGCCCGTCGAACGGGTAGCCGTCGCCGTGATCCGAGCGCGCAAACTCCACCACGATGTCCACCTCCCTCGCATCCTCCTCCTCCTGCTGCTGCTGCTCCATCGCTGCCGCCGCTCGGCCGTTGTTCCTCCGCATCTTCGCGTGACGACAACACGGACGGACGGTCGAACGCAGGAAGGGTTTTCGCAGCCGACGTTCCGATTCGTAATTGGTTGGTTGGTCAATCGATCCTTTTTTTTGTTTTGGGCGGGTTAGGACACGTCGTAATGATCCGGTCGAGTTTGTCGTGTCGTGAAAAAAAAACCCTCCGCGCCACCCCGACGTGGCCAAACGAATTAAATTGTCGCGTGGCGTGCGGAGGCTTTAACCACATGCCGATCGTCAATTAGACGGCTCGCTGCGAAAGCTGGCCGTGGGAATTGTTATTCACCCTCCCGGCGACTGAGCTGCTGAAACAATAGTAACACTTTTGATAATCGGCACATCGTTGGACGCTCATTCGTGCGCCGCATGACAATTAAATGTACTCGGTCTGTGTCGGGTGGTGGAGGGTTTCACGACACAACAACTTCGCCGGATGGTTACGACGTGTCCTCAACCACAATGACAACGATTTGGTTTTTTTACAGAGCGCCCTCCTTTGCGCCGGGACGTCTCACAGCGCGTTCGCATCACATCTCATCTCATGTGAAGAGAGGGCACCCCCAGTGGCAGCTCTCCCTGTGTGGGCACGAGGGTGACTCTGTGCCTGGCCTGCAAGCAGGCATTAGTCCGCCAGTAGGGGATGACGATTGCCTCTGTGTGTAATTCAATTTGGATAATTTAAACAAACACTGATTATTATGAATGTTACTCGTGATATTAACAATAATCAGATTAACAACAACAAACGGCGAGCGTGGTGACGCAGCCGCCGGTTCATCACGCAATGAATCCGGCGACCCGAGATCAACTCCCTACTGCAGCTATCGAGCAATATCTGCACACGGGAGTGATATAGGAGTGGCGTCATATTCAGCAGACACTCAAATGCTGAGAAAAAAGGTCGCGGTGCCACGATGGCTATGAGATGTTAACTACCTCGCCTGCTATACAGGAGGTCGTGGGTTCGATCCCGACCCTGACGCCTGCTGTATATTTGGAGTCTGCGTGTCTCTCTCTCTCATCATCATCATCACGGTGGCTATGAGATGTTAACTACCTCGCCTGCTATACAGGAGATCGTGGGTTCGATCCCGACCCGGACGCCTGCTGTATATTTGGAGTCTGCGTGTCTCTCTCTCTCATCATCATCATCACGGTGGCTAGGAGATGTTAACTACCTCGCCTGGTGTACAGGAGGTTGTGGGTTCGATCCCGACCCTGACGCCTGCTGCTGTATATTTGGAGTTTGCGTGTCTCTCTCTCACCCGTGGTCGCGTGGACTTTTTTTCTGGGTCCTCCGGTTCTTCCTCTCCACAATTAGAATCAACATCGCGCGTTTAGAGTATTCGGCTGCTATACATGTCCACGCGATGGTAATCCACTTCGTTGAGCTATCATTAGTGGCCAGGTCGCTTCTGAAAAAGAGCTATGGCAGGCTTTACCTTGTAAAATAAAAATATAGTCGTTGCTCGAGGAAGGGTCGTACCAAGGGAAGAAGGGAAGATGTGGCAAAGGGAAGAGGAGGGCTTTGAATGCAACACAACGAAGAGGATCGTGGCGAGATCCTCTTCGTTGTCGCGCGTTGGAAAAAGGGGGGGGGGTAGGTGGGCGAGATAAACGAGAGAGGGGGAGACATAACGAGGAAGAGAGAAAGAACGAGGCGGTCTCACCTTCCCCTTTCGCTGCTGATGATGCTGCTGCTGCGGCAGCTGCGGCCAGCCCTGGGGACCCCACAAGGAGCCGTGGGGCGGCATGGGCCGCTCGTGGAAGCGAACGTCGGCCACGTCGCTCCAGGCCTTGAGCGCCAGCGACATGAGCGTGCGCACCGTGCCCGCCGCCAGGCCTGCGTGCAGCGGGAAGGAGTTCAGCCTACATGGGGGGGGGGGGGGGGGGGTGTGGGGGGGAGACGAGAGGGAGATGGGAGAGAGAGAAGGGCGATGGAGGAGATCAGAGGGAGATGGGGGAGAGAGAAGGACAATGGAGGAGATTTTTCAGTACATTTTTTTCACTTCATTTATTTATTAGGTGTAGCCCTGTGAGCCATTCGGCTCTTGAATCGGGTGCAACCGCAACAAACAAGCACGTGAACAGGTAACATGTTAAAGTGAGAGGGAGATGGGAGAGAGAAGGGCGATGGAGGAGATGAGAGGGAGCGGCACGTGACAGTGAACGATCCCACTGCACGACGAATCGACCCTCCTCCCGATACGAACCGCGACGTCCGGATTACCAATCGCCTCCCTCTAGGTCGACTCGGCCTCAACACGAGGTGCCTCACCTCCAGGTGAGGTCGCGTTTGGTCCACGCGGCGCCGGAGAGTGCGTATCTCCTCCTCCTCCTCTTCACGAGCTCCGAGGTGCCGATCATGTCAGGCAGCGAGCAGCGGCGCCTCGACATGAGCTCCAGCGTCTGTGCGTCTGCGGGGTGGGGGGGGGATTCATCGTCGTCGATGCGCCCTCCACCACCCAGCGCGGCCGAACAGACTAAAAACGTTCTATATTATTTTAACCAGGTAAGGCACCACGAGGTTGTGTGGATCTTATTTCCATACGCGAGCTGGCTGTCGCAAACGACAGCTCAACGAAGTGGGCTTATCATCGTTACGTGGAAGCAGCCAAATTGATCCTAAATGTGGAGGGGGAAAACCGGAGGACCCGGAGATAAATCCACGCGACCACGGGGAGAGAGATACGCAAACTCCAAATATACAGCAGCAGGCGTCAGGGTCGGGATTGAACCCACGACCTCTTGTTATACCAGGCGAGGTAGTTAACATTTCCTAGCCACCGTGATGATGATGAGAGAGAGAGACACGCAAACTCCAAATATACAGCAGGCGTCAGGGTCGGGATCGAACCCACGACCTCTTGTATACCAGGCGAGGTAGTTAACATCTCCTAGCCACCGTGATGATGATGAGAGAGAGAGACACGCAAACTCAAAATGTACAGCAGGTGTCAGGGTCAGGATCGAACCCATGACCTCCTGTATACCAGGCGAAGTTGCTGTGGCTGTTATTGTGGTGGTGGTTGCTGTTATTGTGGTTGTTATGCTTTTGTTATTGTAGTGTTTGTTATCAATGTGGTTACTGTGGTTGTTGTTTGTCATTGTGGTGGTTGTGGCGATTGTGGGTGTTATTTAACGTAATCATTATTATGCTTGTTGTTATTGCGGTTGTTGTTGTTGTTATTGTTGTGGTTATTGCTGCGGTGTCCTTTACCCATCTTGCCCGTCACCCGGATGCCCCCGAATCTCTGCATGGCTTTGATCGCTTTCGCGATGCCGTCCCGTGTCTGCAGTTGAGCGGTCCCCTTGCCGGGAGACGGGAGGTACCCGTAGCGAGTCAGCCAGTCCTGGGGGGGGGGGGGCGGGGGGGGAGAGCAGTCGGGTCGGTCAGGGTATCGGAGGACAGATGGGTTCTCCAATAATACTCTTTGGCTCTTTCGGTAAAGTCACGTAGGTAGAAATAAAACAAAATAAATCACGACGTTTCGAACGCAACACAAGCGTCCGTCTTCAGGTGAAAGTCGCGACAAGGCAGCAGACATCGTGCTGCGAGCAGCAGGCATCCCGGCTATCGCGAGTTTCACCTGAAGACGATGGCTTGTGTTGCGTTCCAAACGTCGTGATTTATTTTGTTCTATTTCTACCTACGTGACTTTACCGAAAGAACCGAAGAATATGAATTCCTGCAGTCACGAAAGTTTTCAGTCGAGCATTCTTATCATTTAAATCGGCGTTTCGGTTTTGCGCCCGCGTTTACAACTGTGACCCAAGCAGGAGCCCCACAGCGCCGCTGACGCCACGTGCGGGACTGTGGCAAAGTCATTCGCTGGGCGAAAGTGGGAAGGTTCGGATAGCTCATTCACACACGGAATGAAAACGTGGAAGGAAGGATGAATGAATGAGGAGTGGGAGAGGAAGAACAGGGGGATACTAACACAGGGAATCTCTGCATTGCCGACTGTGGACCTCTGTGTAAGTCTATGGGTGTCCATGTAAGTCTATGGGCGTCTATGTAAGTCTATGGGTCTATGTGCAAGTGTGTGGGTGTCTATGAGTGGACCATCGTGGCGAGTTCGGGGATTGTGTTTCGAGACCTCGGCAACTCCCACGCATTTGAGCTGGGATATATTTCCGGTGTGGTGAATAAGGGGGGGGGGAGTTGTGGGGCGGCGTGACGTCAGCACGCACGAGTCCTGGGTGATGTCATCACGCAGATGTGCGCGGTGACGTCACGACCGCACCCTTGCCCGTCCGCCCGCACCAGCCAGCCAGCAAAACTTTTTTTGTTATGGGCTTGCAAATCTAAGAGGTATGCGGCCACCGCAGAGGTATGCGACCACCTCAAACCTCTGTGGATTTTTTTTCATGCATCTGTGCGGAGCCTTGAATGTTCACATCACATAGCCAAACATCAATGCTGCCGGCAGGACCCTCCTGGATAAAAAAAAAGAGTTCGATGAGAGACTCAGCGAGGCTTTCCAAATCCAGCGAATTTTATTTGTAAAATATTTTCATCGACAACAAAATCCACTGCTGGATAAAAGCCACTGTCCCCCCCACCCAATCCGCCACCTCTCACGATGCCCCCCCCCCGCCCCCCGCGACGTTATTAATCTTCCGAAATACAATCCCCTAACTCGCCACAATTCCGACTTTGAAATGTGATTCCATCGCTCCATCTCCCTTCGGAAGTGCAATCCCCCTTTTTGGAGGACGCGGCCGCCGCCTCCTCAAACGGTGAAGGGGGGGGGGGGGTGGCGGGAATGAATAAATTAGTTAGATACTTTATTAATTTCTCAATTAACCGATTGATTGCCTATTTTATTAATGAATTGCCTCATTCACGACGCCACTCCGCGGGCACATTCTGATGGGGGAGGGGAGGGCGGGGGGGGGACGTGGGAGAGTGATGGGAAATTGGTACTTTAATTATTTATGATTCTCTAAGTAGGGGGTGGTGGGGGTGAGCAAGTGGGGGGCAGAGTGGGGGGCAGAGTGGGGGGGGGTCTTAATGCCTTAATGGGCTAAGCACGCGAGCCCGGATCAATACTCGCGTCTGATTGGCCGCCTCAGTGGGAATGGATCAGAGACCCATTCCCGCGGAACGCCTCGTCCTTTGCTATGATATCACCCACAAAGACAAAGACAAAGATCCCCCGGGTAGCCTTAACAGATTGTAGAGGCAAGTGCTGTCAGCGAGCACCTATGAAGGCCGGCACGGTACACGAGGGGGTGGGGTGGCCAACACCACGCCCGGCCGCCTTTGTCTCCCGAGTGGCGAGTCGACCTAGGAGAGGCCCAGGACCGGTTCAGAAAATTGTCACCGCTGCTGGCCGTGAGCGGGAATCGAACCCGGGTCGCCAGGTTCGTAGCGCAAGTGCGCTAACCGCTACACTACCGCTCCCCCCGACATCAAAGATCAAAGATCCCCCATATAGCCTGAACAGACTGTAGGGGCAAGTGCTGTTAGTGAGCACCTATGAAGGCCAGGACGGTACACGAGGGGGTGGGTGGCCAACACCACGCTCGACCGCCTTTGTCTCCCTAGTGGCGATGTTTACACACCTCACCAGGTACTCATTTGAGGCTGAGTCGACCTAGGGGAGGCCCGGGACCGGTTAAGATAATCGTCACTGGTGTTGGCCGTGAGCGGGAATCGAACTCGTATCGCCGGGTTCATAGCGCAGCGCGCTAACCGCTACACTATCACCCACACACACAGCCACACTGACACACACACACAGCCACACACAACAACAACAACCGCCATTCGCCACTAAGTGGCGGTAACATCACCACGGCGCTTGTGCCAGGCTAAGTGCACGTTGAGGCCACGTGAAGTGTCGAATGCCGGCCGGCAGGAGGTCACGGGGCAGACCCAGCAGGTGCCACGGGTCGACTGACTCAGATGACGACTGGCCGATGCACCACCTGTGCACCCTACTGTACCAACTTGCTGTGCTTTAGCCACCCGGCGCTCCGCTCGTTGTTGTGAGCCACACAGACACACACAGACACAGAGAGAGCGTTCGCTCATTCAATGCACGCCCCCCCCCCCCCAAACACATTCACTCACTGACCCCCAACCGCTCGTTTGACGACTCATCCACTCACGTCTCTGACTCGCGCACTCACTCGCTCGCTCACTGAATGTGTTCACGCATTCATTGATACATTTATTCACCGACTCATTCACTCAACTATCCACTCACTCATCCGCTGCCCTTGTCATGTACAGAAGTCATGCATTGGTTTGGTCTAACACGTGCCACCCTGTCCCATCTAACACGTGGCTTATAATTGATTCATCATAACCAGCGCGCTTTAAGTTTGCCTTGGAACGTGCATTGCCATTAAGCCGGTAACGCGTACAAGTGAGAGCCAGGGCTTTTTTTGCAAATCCACTGCCGGATGAAGGCCTACCCCACTCCGTGTCGGTCGCGTGAGACGCAAGTTTGACCATACTTCATCGCGTTATGTCACCACACCACTGATGGTAGCCGCGGGCGAGAGTCGAACTCGGGTTCGGACGGGTTCGCAGCGCGGCGCGCCAACCGCTTGCACCCACGTGCGCATACCAAGCACAATACATCAATGGATTTCGTTGTTTAGTTTCGCTGCGTCGCTCACAACGTGGCCACACAGCAGCCTATAACACCTGTTATTCGTATGCCGGCCTCAATTGCGCTTGCCGCAGGGGCTGTTGCGACTGCATCACGACTTTGAAATCAGCAGCAGCAGCACACTCGGCCAGGCCAAGAGGCCACCGTGCGTCACGGAGACTCGCTGCTGCCAGAGGAGGTCACGGGACGAGAGCCCAGGTGCCATGGGGTGTGACTGACCGAGATGACTGGCAGATGCCACCACAACCGTGCTCTCGGCTTCGTCAACTTGCTGAGTTTTAGCCAGAAAAATAAAAAAATAAAATCCCAGCCGCATTGGTCTCTCGAGTTCTGACGTTTACACACCACACAAAGAGAGTCCATTTAGGGCTGAGTAGATCTAGCGGGGAGCCCACAGGACAGGTTCAGATAAACACGCCACTTGATGGGTCGCCGGGTTCGTAGCGCAGCGAGTTCACCGCTAAATATTGTCGAGCGCAACATACAGCCGTGCAAAGACAAAGATCTCCCCGTGTAGCCTCAACAGACTGCCGGGGCAAGTGCTGTTAGCGAGTAGCGCACGGCACACGAGGGGGTTGGGTGTGCCAACAAGTAAGGCGGCCGCCTTTGTCTCCCCAGTGGCACCAGGTTACTCATTTGAGGCCGAGTCGACCTGGGGGAGGAAGGCTCAGGACCGGTTCAAACAGTCGTCACCGTTGTTCGCCCTGAGCCGGAATCGAACGCGGGTCGCCGGCTTTGTGCAGCACGGCGCGCGCTCCACTCACAAAGACAAGAGACACAAACACGCGCTGGCGGACACACGCAGAGCACCGATGATCAAAACACTCACGATGCCCTTGCTCACGTCTCCAGATCCGCTCTTCTCCCGCGTGGCGTAGACCCCGCCAGGGTTGAAGACGCACAACTGCAGCAGCAGCAGCAGCAACAGCAACAGCTGCGGCAGCTTCAACAGGGAGGCGAACTTATCCGTGCGCGGTCGGATGAAACGCGCGGCAGCAGAAGACGATGCCGAAAACGATGTTTGCATCATCGCGGTTTTGGGGGACGGACTTTTACAACAAGAATCGGACGAGGAGCGCTTAGAACCAGAACCTCGATTTAATCCTGGAGGGACTCCAACCAGCCTCGAGGCGGCTCTTGTTTTCTTTCTTTCTGCACGGGATGTCAACCCCCAGTCGCAGTTCGTGGCGTCTCCCTTTTCGTTCGAACGAGACGCGACGTCGACGGAGCAACGAGGTTCGCGGTCTCTTCCCGCAACGGGTTAACAACACCCCGCCGGGCAGTCTTGGAGCAGCTGTTTTATGGTGCCCCTCCACCCGCTCTCTTGACGCTCCGCCTCCAATAATTCTCTCTCTCTTCGGGGCTTCCGTCACACCCCCCTCCGCGTTCCTCCTCGTTCCTCCTCCTCCTCCAGATACGGGGCAAAGGAGCCTTATGGCGGTACCCCAGGGTACCAAATAACACAACATGACCGAGGCAATTATTTTTGTATTTCTGGGACACTTTTTTGTTTCCAGGGGTGTTACTTAACTCCGCGACTGGGTAACCAATCAATCCGAAATCGGTGCCACACTCCGCGATGTCGAAACGCAGCGAGGACGATTGCGCTGAAACCCTGAGCGCTCGCAACGCACCGTAGTGGTGCATCGTGTACAGCTCGTCGAGATGAGTCGATGGCCGCATCGCCGACCATCAACAGACTAACATGACTGCATCACGGACATTATGCGAGAGCCGGGGTACCGCCATCAGGTTCAAATGTGGCATGCCTTGTTTTGCGGCTTTGTGTGTTTTTTTTTTGGTAAGGCACTAATGCAGTTCTCTTTCTCTTTCCTTAGGGGCGCCGCAGTAGCGAGATGTTGACTACCTCACTCGGTGTACAGAAGGTCGTTGGTTCGATCCAGACCCTGACGCCTGCTGCTGTATATTTGGAGTTTGCGGTGTCTCTCTCTCTCTCATCATCACGGTGGCGAGGAGATGTTTACTACCTCGCCTGGTATACAAGAGGTCGTGGGTTGGATCCCGACCGTGACACCTGCTGCTGTATATTTAGAGTTTGCGGTGTCTCTCTCTCATACTCATCATCACGGTGGCTAGGAGATATTAACTACCTCGCCTGGTATACAGGAGGTCGTGGGTTCGATCCCGACACTGACGCCTGCTGCTGTATATTTGGAGTTTGCGTGTCTCTCTCTCATACTCATCATCACGGTGGCTAGGAGATATTAACTACCTCGCCTGGTATACAGGAGGTCGTGGGTTCGATCCCGACACTGACGCCTGCTGCTGTATATTTGGAGTTTGCGTGTCTATCTCCCCGTCGTCGCGTGGATTTTATTTCTCCGGGTCCTCCGGTTTTATCTTCCACATTTATAAGCACGCGTTTAGAGCATTTGGTGACGATACATGTCCACGTGATAAGCCACTTCGTTGGGCTATCATTTGTGTCCAGGTGGCTTCTGAAAAAAGAGCTATATGGCTCAGTGGGCCTTACCTGGTAAAAATAAAAAATAAATAGTTCGTTGATATATCTTTTTTTGCCCCTCTGGGTTAAAGCCCTTCAAGTTGATTTGAGAGACATAGTTGAGTTGGGGTAGCGTCACGCACGTGAAGTGCGCGTCAATCCCAGAGGAGGTCAAGATCGGCGAGACCCCGACTGGAAAAACCTTGGCGGGTAAGAGGGGACGGGGGGAGGTAGAGGGGGGGGGGGCAATAAACTGAGACACGAACCCCCAAGTATCTTAAGGTTACAGAAACATGCGAGCCCACAACCATGGACAAGCAGCTGCCCAGTGATGCACTGCGATAAATATGGCCGAATGAGTTATTGTAAGCAGGTAAGCAGCAGCAGCGACAACAACAACAACACCACGTGGGAATCAACTGCACGGTCACGTGAGTCTCAAGAGATGGCCAACACATCTCGGTGGAGGCAGGAACCTCCCGAGAAGCAGACTCGCCCCTACCTGCTGCCCCCACCCACCCACCCGCCCTTCCCTCCTGCCCCCACCCGCCCGCCCCTCCCTCCTGCCCCCACCCACCCACCCGCCCCTACCTCCTGCCCCCACCCACCCACCCCTACCTCCTGCCCCCACCCACCCACCCGCCCCTACCTGCTGCCCCCACCCACCCACCCGCCCGCCCCTACCTCCTGCCGACACCCACCCATCCACCCCTACCTCCTGCCCCCACCCACCAACCCACCCACCAACCCACCCCTACCTCCTGCCCCCATACCCCCCTACCCCTTGCCCCCACCCACCCCTACCTGCTGCCTCCACCCACCCACCAACCCCTACCTCCTGCCGCCACCCACCCCGACCTCCTGCCCCCACCCACCCACCCACCCCTACCTCCTGCCCCCACCCACCCCTACCTCCTGCCCCCACCCACCCCCGCCCCTCCCTCCTGCCCCCACCCACCCACCCCTACCTCCTGCCCCCACCCACCCACCCGCCCCTACCTCCTGCCCCCATACACCCACCCCTACCCCTTGCATCCACACCCACCCAGCACTACCTGCTGCCTCCACCCACCCACCAACCCCTACCTCCTGCCCCCACCCACCCCGACCTCCTGCCCCCACCCACCAACCCACCCCTACCTCCTGCCCCCACCCACCCCGACCTCCTGCCCCCACCCACCAACCCACCCCTACCTCCTGCCCCCACCCACCCACCCCTACCTCCTGCCCCCACCCACCCACCCCTACCTCCTGCCGCCACCCACCCACCCGCCCCTACCTCCTGCCCCCACCCACCCCACCCCTACCTCCAGCCCCCACCCACCCCTACCTCCTGCCCCCACCCACCCACCCGCCCCTCCCTCCTGCCCCCACCCACCCACCCACCCCTACCTCCTGCCCCCACCCACCCACCCCTACCTCCTGCCCCCACCCACCCACCCACCCGCCCCTACCTCCTGCCGCCACTCCACCCCCATCGCCTTTCACAACACCGCCCCCCCCACCCCCCAGACTCCACCACAACCCAAAGCCACCCGACCACCACGTGGCGCCGGGAGGGAGGGGAGAGTCGTCCGCGTCGAGAGAGGCGAGGTCCCTACCGAGGAAGGGGAGAGGCGCAGAGTCGAATGAGGAGCAAGAGACGGCGAGGGCCCAAAGAGGATTGAGGAGGGGATGGGTCCCGCAGAGGTTGAATTCCCACGTCGGTGTTGTCATGAATCGACGGAGGGGGAAGGGGTTCGGTGACCGAAGTAACGAGAGGAAACTTTTTTTGTTCGAATTCCGTCGCGAAGGAGTCTTTGTAGAGAGCCACAGGTTGGCGACCCCTGATTTAAGGTAACGAAAGAGTCAAATAATCAAATAAGTGTCGCAGACGAGACGGCAAGCCAACTGGTATATATATATTTAATACACTACTTGCACGTACAAGTCGTGGGATTATCACGTCAACCCCGAGGAGGAGTAGGAAAGACGAGGCAAGTTTGTTTTTAGCGCGCGCGCTGGGTGCATCTATCACACCGCAGCATCGCGAGGAAGGGTGGCGGGTCGCCTTTTGTGAAGGCCTTCCTCATCCAGCAGTGGATCGACCACGGCTGTCGATGATACGATGATGACGACGATGGGTTTATTGCAAGATGGGCCGTGACAATGGCAGGCCTCGACAAAGACAATCGGCACGGGGCTCCCTGCCGGCCCCCTCGTGTTGGGGGTTGTGCGTGGCGGGCTCGCGTTATTTTGACGAGCAGACGCACACATTGGGCGGGTTCACTCTTTCGGCATCGTTCTCGCCCTGCTACGACAGACTGAAGCGTCAGCGTTCATCTCCAGGAGTTGGGCGGGCGGGGGGAACGTGGATTTATAACCTCACGGACGCCCTCGATTTTTTTTTAAAGGGAGATGTAGGGGGGGGGGGTGGGAGGGGAAAAACTCGTTTCCAAGAATTGTTCAAAGTTGGATAGCGAATGTCTGTAATTCGCGAGCGCACGAGACAGCGCAACTGTAAACAGTGAAGTTTTAAAATATAACTTCCCCACCCCCCCCGCCCCCGTTTATGCTTCCAATTACCCAGCGATGTGACCACCACCGTGGCTCTCGGCTGGTGTTGACGAGTCGCGGGAGTCAGCACCGGCGGGGCGCGTAAACAACACTCGCCGTGGTTTAAAACAAGTACAACCCGTAAAAACAAAGTTTTTCACTCTAAATCCTTTATATGCGTGGCGGCTAGAGTCCTCTCGTCCTCTGGCTTGAGATGGCTGCCACCTATGGGTCAGATGATTGTCTGCCAGTATTAAACAATTGGTAATTAAATATTTAAATTGTTTTCCCTAAACAGTGTAAAATTTTGGAAAATTGTTTTCACGAACATTAATTGTCTCGCACAACGAGTCTGTGTGCAAAATGTCAGCTCGATTGGATCACGGGAAGTGGGTTAAAAAACGACCGAAAGGTTTGCACGGTCGTAAGCAAAGCAAGCAAGTGAACTTAATATAAATTATTTAAAAACCGCACGATCCAATTGCGAATGACAGTTTCGCGTCGTCAAGTCGTCGTGTCGCAAACGGTGTTGTTTATGGGCCGTGCTCGGCTCGATCGAGCACCGGGCCACGTGCTTGAGAGGGTTTGCTCGAAATTGCGCTCTCGGGAGACGAACGTACCAGAGCACGAAAGACACGATTTGAAAACATGAAAAGGGCATTTCACTCCCCCATCACCTTCCCGACCGCCTGATCCAATACCGCACCGGTGAAGACGAACGCCTATCGGAACGACTCGTGTAATCCATGCGTTGCGCGTGGTTTTTTTTCTTCGCGACTGATTTCATTTCGACGTGATCTGCAGCTCTCTAACCCACCGCCCCCACCCCCCTCTTCAATCGCACTCCGATTGTACTGGAGAGCACGCTTGAGGATTTGTTTGCGTGCGGTCGTTTCGTTTGCTGGATTGCGACCATCGACTTCATTGAAAAGTAATTTCTTTAGAACCGCTTTTGTGTGTTTGGTCTGCTGTCCTGCCACCCCGCGCCTCCGATGAGCACGGCTGGATACGTACGGTGCGAAAGAAGTTCAACTTACATCCTTGTGAAACGAAGACGTCTCAATTCAGAATTCTGCAGCGGAGCGGTGTACCGCTGTCACAGATCCCAAAGACAAAGATCCCCCGTCTAGCCTTAACAGACTTTTGGGGCAAGTGCTGTTAGCGAGCACCTATGAAGGCCGGTACGGCACACGATGGGGTGGGTGGCCAACACCACGCCCGGCCGCCTTTGTCTCCCCAGTGGCGATGCTCACATCACACCAGGTACTCATTTGAGGCCGAGTCGACCTAGGGGAGGCCCAGGAACGGTTCAAATAATCCGTCACCGGTGTTGGCCGTGAGCGCGAATCGAACCCGGGTCGCCAGGTTCGTAGCACAGCGTAGCGCTAACCACTGCGCCACCGCTCCCCAGCGGTGCACCGCTGCCACAGACCCCCCCCCCCCCCCCCACACATAAACACCACGCAACTTATTCTCATTCTATACTTGGGTTATAATTTTATATGCCGTGCGAGAAGTGTTGATCGCATGCCAAACAAACTCTTTTTTTTCTCCCCTTAAATCGGGAGCTGGAATTTTGCCCAATTCAGCCGAGACGAATCACGGCGCGCGGGTCCCTCGAGATATTTTGCGCGATCGTCTGCGACCGAGACGAGTTCCATCTCCGCTGCACCAGAAGAAAAGAAACCGCAACCGGATTATCGAACAAGCGCCGTCGCTCTCGGACGTGACGGGGGGGGGGGACGCATCTGCGACGTGGGGCCCACCCCCCTGTGAATGGAAGGTGGTGTGGAGGTCGCAGCAGACAAGGATGGTCCCATTTTTCGATTGAAAGCTTTTGAGACTGCAGGGATTCATCTTCTTGGCTCTTTCGGTAAAGTCACGTAGAAGGGAAATAATAAAATAATAATAAAAACATTATGAAATACAATTCTCACGACGTTTCGGCCACAACGCAAGCAGCCGTCCTCAGGTGAAGAACAGGTCTGTCGGAAAGACAGCGTCTGAATGAACACCACCAAGCTTGGCAGCGTATATTTAAGCTGGGTTAAATGAGGGAGCCTTGACAAAGAAATTTGCATATCAACATATTAATTTAGCATATTTATGGGATTAGTCACTACTTGTGGAATTTGTAGGTCTCAAAGTCATATTATGCCCGTGCATTAAGTAGTATTAGCAGTAATAAAGGGAAGGCATTTTAATAGTAAGGAGCTGCAGCAGCCAAACCACCACGTAAAAAACTAAAATATAAATTACATCAATATCATCAATATACTCTCCAATAATCTGAGCAACTAACAGTAAGTCATACATTACAATTCTATATCGCAAAAAAAATTATAATATGCCTCCAGCTAAACAAGAAGAAGGATAGTCTCACCGAATTCCCGCCGGGTACCCTCCGGCGGCTGGACCACGACCAGCAGGCCGACTTAGCACAGACAGCGGGGGGGGGGGGGGGGGGTTGGCAGCCAGTCGCGGGCGACAAAAAAACCACATCCGAAGTGGCGGTCAGGAGAGGCTCTTAACAATAAACAAGGGCCCAACACGTCGCAGTCCTCCATTTCATTTTAAAACAAGTTAATTTGGACAAGTTCGGAAGCATCAGTTAAACAAAGTTTAACGCAGACGCGCACACACACACCGCACCATCTCTACGCGAGAGTGGACTCCGTTCCGGATGCGAAGCCCCAGGCAGGACGCTCTTTCTGCCACCTTTCCCAATATTCCCCGCGCCAATTCAAATTACGTCGTTACACTGTTGCACGCGCCGGATGATTGCTCAACACATTCCGCCCCCACCCCCACCGCGATGAAGAGAGCACTGCTTCTACAAGTCGGGAACTTGGCGTGTGCCAAACCGAGTATGTCTCCTCGGCGGTGCAGCGGTTTGAGCACCGTCCTACGAACCCAGCCACCCGAGTTCGATCCTCGGTCATGGCGAGCGTCAGCGGCGACTGGATATCTGAACTGGGTTTTTTTATTTAGCCTTCCCTAGGTCGACTCGGCCTTAAACAAGTACCTGACAGTGTATAATCGTCGGCACTGGGGAGGTGGGGAGGAAAAGTGTCTCGGCGTGGTGACGGCAAACAACCCCCACTCGTGCCCTTTTCAGACCTTAACGGGTGCTCGCTAACAGCACTCGGCCCATGTAACACCGAAAGCAATTTATTTCAACTTGAATCGGTGCTCCATACATCACGGTGCAGCGACTTAAATGCGTGGAACGGGTGAGATCCACCCGTGATGCGAACCCGTGGTGGGTTCCGCAGTGATGGGGAGCGTGGGGAGGGGGTAAAGCCGTTGCCTTGAGGTAATAATACAGAAAGGGTCAAGGGTTAACAAGGTCAGTCCCAAGCCAACGCACGCACCAGGGGATTGCACTGGGGAAGGGGGGGGGTCTGGCGGCCTCGGTCACGACACCAGCAACGTTCCACCCCCCCGCCGCTTGAACTTCGGGGGCTCCTCGCTCCTCCAGGTTAAGCGTTCGTTGGCGTGCGGAGTTCGGTTTGACGGCGACAGCTCGGTCGCTCGACGTCGCAGGAGTTTGATTTCGCGCGCACACTCAGTTGGGGCCTCTCGGGGAACTATCCGCCAGATGAGGCACGCGGGAAGGTTCCTGACGGCGCCGACGGACGCTCGGGGGGGGGGATAAGAGTGCGGCACGGTAGCAACATCCTGAGCTTGTTAGGCTGAACATGGGTCAGACTGTTGGGATGCTTCCTCAAAGAGACATGCACGGAAAGGAAAAGAGTGATCAGAGTTGGTACCCTCGAAAACACCCACAGTGCAAAGTATTGAAATTGTTGAAAAATTCCAACAAAAAACTGTGAAAAGTCCACAAAAAGTGTGCAAACGCCCCTTTGCGGGCAGTGCATTCGATCTGACGTGAAGTTCAAGTGGTCACCTGGCTTCATGCTGTCGATGCCACCAACGCCACCGCCACCACCACCTTCACATCTCGATTTCCTCTCTGCTACATCCAGCATGAGGCCCCTCCCCGTGATGAATCCAAGGAAATCGTCTCGTCTTCAACGCGTCAACCAGGCCATGCTCCCCGTGGAAATTATTCGACGGATCGGCTCTCTCGACGCGCGTCGATTCGTCGGCCGGCGAGTTTGCGTGACCCCTTCCCTCCCCCCCCGCCCGTGCAGCACCACTCAAAGATCCAACCAGCAAAGAGGCAACCACTGACCCCCCCCCCCCCCCCGAATCGTTGACAATTCACAGAATTGCGACGGCGAGAGAAGGGGGTGCGCGCGCGTGAATTGTTGCATGCGTCCTAGCGACAAAACGCGACCGACGGGAGTTCAAATAGGGTTTCGTTTAAAATAAAAAAAACACTCCGCAAACTTTATTCCACCAAATGCAGGCGACTCGATCCGCACGTGGGTATTTATTTATTTACAAGGCCAATCGGAATAGCCGGTAAACAGTCACCAGCGACGGGACAAAGGAGAAGCTGTCAAAAACTTTGTTCCTTTACAATTCAATTCGTAACAAAAAAAAAATAACTGTTAAGATAAGTCGACTTTTTTTTTTTACGAAAGGGATACTACTTATTTACAAGAAACAAAACTCATCGGCAGATGTCCGGCAACATAATGTGGCAATGTGGCTTCTAGGAGGCCAGATGTGGTAACGGGAAGCTTCTCTCCGTACAGCTTGTGGTGGGGGGGGAGGAACAGGGCAGGTCGATGGTACGACGCTGCTTCCGTACGAAGGACGTCGCCTCGAGACAAAAACACAGTTATAACAGCACAGCATCGCCAAGTCTCGCGCTCACCGATTCATTGTTGTTGTTATCCCTTTTCCTTAAATTTACCAGCCCTGTAGCGCGAACAAGTAACCTCGGCCGCTTTATTTAACGAAGAAGCGAACCTAAAAATAAATTCCGCGGCAGATATTAATTCAGTTTGTTGTCCTTCCCCCCCCCCCCGCACCTCCGATTGGTACGGGTTGGCTACGTCACAAGTTCAACACACGTCCATACACGCCACACCTGGCCTCGCTGCGTGGCATTAAAAACAAAACGGCGGTATGGGGGGAGGGGGATGGGGGGGGGGCGGTGGGGAGGGTGCAAAAAAACACAACACCGTTTGACGAAAAAGTTCAACTCTTGTGACGATTTAATGAACGAGACGGCGATACGCCGTCGTGTTTTGTGCTGTTGTTGTTCTCAGCTGGGCGAGGGCTAAGGGAGCTCCTTCTCAGCGGCCAGCATCGCCTTCACTCGTGCCATGATATCCTGCAGTGCACACGCGCGGGAAGAGGAGCCATCACCACCACCACAGTCTCAAAACACGAGCACCCATCTCCCCCCACCCCACCCTCCCCACCCCGCGCCACCCCCGCCCCCTCGCAGACAAACGCTGAGCAAAGCTCCACCACATCCTGTGCTGTCAGACTGGACGTTAACAATCGGTGATGGGTCATTTATTTATCCTGGAAAGCGTCGCCTAGTCTCAATGCTCGCCTTCGGCAGGGTCCCTGCACTGGGAGATTTGGCCAACTGCGTTTGGAGAGCGATTCAACCGGGCCAACCCCGAGTTCGATTCCTGGCCACGGCTAACATCAGCGGCGAATCAAATGTGAAGCAGTCCGAGGGGCCCTCCTCCGCCAACCTACAGCGACCGGAGCGGTGAAGCGTTGGTCAAACAATCCCCACGACGACAAACCCAGTATGGGGGAGGCATTCATGCAGTAGTCGATTGACAAAGAGCTGACACAATTACTCGCTCGTGGGAGGAAAACCAAAGCACCTGGAGAAAACCCAAGCAAGAGAGGAGACAACGCTTAGTGGGCCGCACAGATGGGTTCACGAACCCCTTTACTGTAGTGCCATCTACTGGCCACCTCGCAGCCTAAGTCGCGGTTACCCTGCTCACACGAGCATGGCGTACTCATCTTCCGGCAGAGAGGACGGGGGACGGAGGGGATTCTTTTCACGGAACAATGATTGGCGGCTTCTCACGAATTTGGGGGGAGGAGGGGGGGGGGGGATCAAAAGCTGAACGAGCCTGCCAAGTGGGACCTGAACTTGTGACCCTCCGATTGCGATCCACGTCTTCCGTAACCTCCCACGTCAATCGGCCCCCGCCCTCAACACACGCTCGCGTGTTACACGAGAATCGGCGGCGCTCGCGAAGGGCTTTGTTGAGTTCCGCAACATCCGCAGTGGTGGTGGTGGTGGTGGCGGTGTGCCAATAACGTTTTACGTCCGGCCCGGCTCTCTCGTACAACTCCGTCAAAGTAAGCGCGACTCGACGACAGATTGACCGACGGGCCGGCTCGAAATCCCCTCACCCGAGAGTGTGATTTTCCCACCTGAGTGATTTTGACTTGAACCGCGGAGAGAGTCGGAGAGGCGGTGCCGTCCTTCTCCGGAACCAGAGGCCTGTTAACGAAGCGAGCGAGCGAGTGAGTTAGCGAGCGTACCAAGAAAAAAAAATAGATTTAAAAAAATAAATGGGGCAAAGCTTTGGTGAAGTGCTCGGTTAAAAATAAATGACCCTTGATTAATGACCGCGGCGCGCACAAGCCTTCAAGCCGCGAGCTAATAAAGCACATACAAAAGTGTGGCAGCGCATCCCCGAAGCAACACGCAGCCAACACAAATGCGCGATGCTTGAAAACCGCAGCGCAGCGGCGACGCGCGAGCAGAGACGAACTGCAGACAGTGAACGGCCGCTCTGGGGAATCATCGGCGCTGCAACTTTTTTTGTCTCTCTCTCCACCGCCCCCCCCCCCCCCATCTCTCTCCACGTCACTCTCTCCCTCTAAACTCGCGCTCTCTTTCTCACCTCTCTGTGTGCGTCTCGGTTGGTCTCGCACCGTGCGTTTCTCCGCGCGCATCTCGCGCACCACTCGGTCTTATCGCTCTGCAAGTCCGCTCGTGTCTCGCTTCGTGACTCGCTTGTCGCGGCACGTACCTCTGTCACTTCTCCATGTCGTTCCAAATCCATGTCCGTGCCCGTCGCTCTCAGACAGGCATTGCCCACCCCGCTGTCTTTCTGCGTGTCTGTGTCTCCCGACGCATCTGTGTGCGTGCGTGTCTCTCTCCAATATCTATCACGGTGTCTGTCTCTCGACATATCTGAGTTTCTCTCTCGGTATATGTTGCTCTATTGGTCCCTCTCCACGTCTTCTTTCTGTATTCCTCTCTCCCTCTGTCTCTTTCCATATCTCCGCATCCCAACCCATCTCTCTCCAAGTCGGTTTTAGCACAGGTCCCCACGTCTCTAATCATGCTATCAAAACCCATTACCACTACCACCGCATAATCACATCAACAACACCTCCACCGCCACACTGCCACCACCACAACCACCATCAACCACCACCACCCATCATGAACACCACCACCGCCTCACTGCCACCACCACAACCACCATCACCACCAGCTCCACAACTACCACCACCCATCGCCAACATCTCCACCGCCACAATTACCACCAAATCAATAATGCCGCTTCCACTGCCTCCACCAGCTGGCGACGTACGTGGCGTGGCCGTGCGTGCGCGTGGTGGTGGCAGTGGCGGCGGCGGCGGAGGAGCTGCTCGCGTCGCTGGGTTGGGACGCGTCGGGCGAGGGCTCCGCTGAGCGCGAGTGGCCGCGCTTCTTCTTCCTCGAGGAGGAGGTGGAAGAGGAGGAGGAGGGCGCCGCCCCCACGCCGGCGTTGGGCGCGTGCGAGGGACGCGCGTGGTGCTTCGGGTGAGGCTGGGGGTGCTTCTTCCTGCGGTGGACGTCGTCCTCCCCCTCCGCCCTGGGCGACCTCTTCCGCTTGTGCTCCTTGGGCGACCTGGCAGGCGGCGCGGAGCGCGGTTGGGGGTAGTGGGGGGTAGTGGGGGGTAGTGGGGGGTGGTGGGGGTGGTGGGGGTGGTGGGGGCGAGCGGACACGCGGGTGACGCGTCTCTTCTGAGCCCGCGAGCGCAAAATCCACACACCAGGGCTTCCAGACACACACACACACCAGGGGCTCCCAGACACACACACACCAGGGCTCCCAGACACACACACACACCTGGGCTCCAAATATAAAGATCCCCCGTACAGCCTTAACAGACTATAGGAACAAGTGCTGTTAGCGATCAACTATGAAGGCCGGCATGGCACAAGAGGGGGTGGCCAGCATCACGCCCAACCGCCTTTGTCTCCCTCGTGGCGATATTTACACACCGCACTAGGTACTCATTTGAGGCCGAGGCAACCCAGGGGAGGGTCAAGACCAGTTCAAATCTTCCCCACTGTTATTGGTGGTGAGCGGATATCGAGAGGGTGGAGAGGAGTGGAGGACGGGGGAAACGGGGGAGATGGGGGCAGAGAGTGGAGAAAGTGGGGACGGAAAGACAGGGGAGATGGATAACGGCTGCCCCACCTCCGCGTGCTCCGGACGGGGCTGGTGGACACGCGGTAGGCACTGGGCAGGGTGTCCTCCTTCCGCTGCTCCACGGACCGCGACCGGGACCTGCGGCCGCCAACAGAGATTCGCCTAATCAAGAGTAGGCTCGAGAGATCCACGCCGCACCCGAGGGGGCGTTCACTTGCGGAGATGGAGCCAAGAAACCAGGCACGAGACGGAGAGGGACCGCTGCGTCTCAAGACCGCGACGGACGGCGGAGGCTTGCGGAGGGCCTTCATCCAGCAGTGGAATTGACCGTGGCCGACGATGACAATACGTGGAACGTTTCATCGTTTTGTTTTTAAAAGTGACTCTTCACACCCACAAAACACATCTGTCTAATTACGTGGGTAGGAAGCAATGATTTCCGACTGGCCCAATTTAACACACAACAGCCGCTACAACAACAACAGCAGCAGCAGCAGCTAAATGATGGCGATATCACCACAGCACTTATGCCAGGCTAGCTGCGCTTTGAGGCTGCCATGTGAAATATCGAAGGCTCGCCACATGGCAGGAGGTCACGGGGACACAGTCCCAGGTGCAATGGGTCACCTGACCGAGATGACTGGCAGATGCCCGGAACTCCGGCCGATGTTGCATGCGTCGCTTCTAAGCCCAAACCCCCACCCCCCCCCACCGCATACGTCACACGCACGCCGGCGTTCAAACTAACTAAAATAAAATAAACTTTTTATTTGACTAGGTCAGACCCACTGAGCTACACAGTAATTTTTCAGAAGCGACCTGGCTATCACAAATGATAGCTCAACGAAAGTGGCTTATCACGTGGAAATGTATGGCAGCCAAAATACTCTAAACACGTTGGAGAGAGAGACACGCGAACTCCAAATATACAGGCGTAGTCAAGGTCGGGGTCGAAAACCACGACCCCTCCTGTACACCAGGCGAGGTAGTTAACATCTCGCCAACGCGGCCCCCCGCTTTCAGCTCTTGACTCTGCTTACCGCGAGCGCCGCGCCGACTTGTACGCGCTGGGCAGCGGCTGCTTGGAGCGCGAGCTCGAGCGCGGGCGGGAGCGCGAGCGCGGGCGGGAGCGCGAGCGCGGCGCCGAGCGCGAGCGGGACCTCCGCTCGCGCTTCGACCTCTTCGCCTTCTTCTTGTCGCGCGAGCTCTTCTTCTTGCGGCCCCCCCCCTTGTCCCTCGGGGCGCCGCGCTCGTGACGCGGCGAGCGGCTCCTCTCGCGCGACCTCCTCCTCTTTCTCTCCTCCTCCTCCTCCCCCTCTCCTTTCTCCTTCTTCTTCTCCTTCCCCGAGTGTCGCGCCTTCTTTAATTCCGGAGGTTCGTCCGGCGCAGTGGATGGTGCCGGTGGTACCGGCGCCGCTGTCGTTGCCGCCGCCGTTGCTGCAGTTGCCGCCGCCGCAGCTGCCACAGCCGCCGCGGCCGCCGCCAGTGCCGATGCCGCCGGTGTAACTAACACCGGCGACACCTCTCCCGCCGCCTCCGTCTCCATCTGGGGAAGAAGGTTTGGTGTGGCGAGGGTCAAGTGCTGCTAAACCTTCTCAGCGCCAGAAGTTCATTTCCTCAAGGCGTCTATAATGATTCGCCCCCCTCGCGCCCGGGTAAGCAATTCAACGGGCCGTCACGATACGATGGCTGGCAACGATGGTGACCACGATGATGGCTACGATGGCAATGGTAATGACGACGATGATGACGACGATGATTACGACCATAATTACAATGACAACGACGAGTAAGATGACGACCATGACAAAAACGACCGTGACAGCGACGCCACGCGCACGCACCTTGGCGGAGCCGCCCGCGTCCCCGGGGTACCGCAGCTTCTGGAGGAAGAGCTCAGCCTTGCGTCTCCTCTCGGCCTGGAGCAGCCGCTCGCGCTCGTCCCGCGCCGACGCAGCCGGCGCCGCCACCAACGCCGCCGCCGCCAGCAGGAGGCCCTGCTGGCGCTCGCGCTCCGCCTGCGCCTGCCGCTCCTTCGACTCCTTGGCGGCCTGCGCAAGCTTCTCACGCGCCGCTGCCGACAGACGGTCCTCCAGGCGCTGCTTGGCTGGGCGTGGGGGGGATGGGGCGGAGGAGGCGGTGGCGGGAAGGCAAAGCGGAGGAGTTTTTTTTTAGGCCCCAATTACATTTTTTTGTGCCCAATCATTTTTGAATCGCATTATCGGCTTCGTGTCACGGCATGAAGTCGTTTCCCTTCGAAGACTGCAGCTAGAAGTGTTCCGCTCCGTGTCAGAACCAATCCTTCCCCTGCCCCGGCACCCACCACCTCCCACCAACTCCCTACGACCACAAGCCTAATGATTTCAGGTCCTGATTTTATTCCATAATCAATTATTGTTTTACTTAACACCGTGAAACACGTGCAGCGTCCTAATTGGTTGCAGGGGGTCATGTGAACCAGTCGCACACGATACACACGAAATGGACACTCACAGGGCTCCACACGCGCGATTCGCCGTGTGTGCCGCAAGTTTAAGAATCGAACGTAATCAATCGATGAACCTTGACATTTTTACATGGCAAACCAACCGTGCCATGTGACAGGAAAATAGACAGGAGGCTCACATGAGTCACAGGGTGCTTAAACTGAACAAATATGTTGCTCAGGTTGATCTGAAATCCATGTGACCGCCTCAACAGTACAGTAGTTGCCATAACTTTACAACGGTGGGCAGAGTTTGATTGATGTTGATTGGCGTGGCTCTGCTATCATCCACTTTGTGGGTGGGAGTCTTGTGTTTGTTTTGTTCATTAGCAAACTCAATTTTCTTAACTTAAACATAATTTTTGGCATCGGGTATTTGATATTTTTGGATTATCCACGATTTTGAATGAATTCGCGGCCGTCTTCTCTGTCATTAGCGTGGATAATCGAGAGTCCACTGTAATTGTACGTCTACAATAGAGGGATATTTTTGGGTTAGATCGTGTAAATATAAATGTGTCATTAAACCCGCCACCACCAAACCACAGCCAATCAGTAAGGATTTGTCACGTACACAAAACGTGACCATTTCCTTCCTAGTTCAGCAACACCGGTGTGTTGGGAGATTAAAACCCACAACGTTTACAAATCGAGTACTTTTGACGCGTCTCCGGCAATTACAAACAGCCTCATCAGGCAACAGCCAGAGTTGCGTACATCTGCTACAAAGCTATTGTGAAACAAAGGATGGTGAGCATGCTACGTCTGCACACCGCCACCAGCCCCCCCGATCCTCTAATGCCAGATTTCTCGACAATATCAATCACTCGACGTGGCCATCTGTGACGGCACAAGTCTCGGTGGCCTGCCTGCACCCACCTGGAGTCGAATTTCTCGAGTCCGGTTACAGAACCAGACACCCTGCCCATCCTCCATCGGTCACACCAGGTGCCACAGACCACACGTGGTCAGCACCCCCACACCCCCACCACCCCTTTCAAATAATCTGAAATCGGGCCGAAGATGATTGTATTCTACGGCAAATAGAAAAAAGTTTCGGCTGCAGTTGGCCCGAACAAGGCTGCGCGAGTTTTTCCCACTGGAATTTCAATCGCACGTGACCTCTCTCTCCATGCTGACCGTCGAGGAAAGTGAGCGGGGGAGGCTTGGGCAGGATAGGTCACGGGCTAGAAGGTACAATGGCCGGTGGCGGTGCAGGAGCTGGACGGATCAGTGCAGTGCGAGACCGTGAGAAGTGGAACGCAAGGCGAGGCCACATCCAGTCATGGATAGATCATGACTGTTGCTCTGCTGGTGCTGTTGCTGTTCATGATAACGATGATGAATCAGCAACGTCTATGCAAATTGTGAGGCTCCCAGACATTATCTGTTACAAGCACAAACCTTGTGCAGGAAACCACAGTCGACACTAACCAGATAACCAACTCTGTTCCCTTCTCCAAGTCACAAAGTCCACAACGCTCACTCATCGCTTGCCACGGTGGCGAGCTGTTAACTACCTCGCCTAGTGTACAAGAGGTCGTGGGTTCAATCCCGACCCTGACACCTGTATATTTGCAGTTTTTCGTGTTCTCTGTCGTGGTCGTGTGCATTTTGCTCCAGCTCCTCCACATCGACATCGCGCGTTTTTGGAGTATTTGGCCGCTATAAATTTCCACGTGATGATAAGCCACTCCCCGTTGAACTATTCCTTGCGATAACGAAGTCGCTTCTGAAAAAAAGAGCTATACGGGCTCAGCAGGCCCTTACCTGGTAAAAAAAAAACAAATAGTAAAACAGTCAAAATATCAACTCCAAACAGCCGCAGCGCGAGCTATCCATCGTCGTAAGGAGGCAGCGGCTTCGCGTATGAACGGCAACGGGAGACCCCTCCCGCGTCAACAGGCCTTTAGCCACCCCTCGATTCGCCATCCCCCCCCCACCCCCCGCTCTCTAGGAGGGCTTTCACGTTTCTCGATGAAGGCGCTAATGTTTTCCTTCAAGCGCGTCCGGTCATCGGGCACACCCCCCCACCCCCGTTTGGCAAAACAAAACAAAGCAACGCCAACAGGGCAAGTGGAGATGCTGGCCAATGTATCTGCTCTCCGAAATCCTTTTGGAGAGACAGAGAGAGACACGACGACGAAGGGAGGGGGGGAAGGGGGTGGTTGTGCTGCTCTATCTCAAGCTACGAGTTTTTTTGTTTTTGTTCGGCTAAAAATAACACGGACGGGGTGTCGGTGCTGCGAAGGCAGCGCCTACAAACAAACCGGTAACGTCGTATCTCCCGACCCGCTTCGCCCGCTGCGCACGTCCTCCCGACGAGAAAAACGCGGCCTAATAGGACGCCCACGGCACCTTCGGAGCTCGGCGGAAGATGAGTCCGTATGAAAGGGAAAGAAAATCAGTCAAGTCCCCTGTGGGCTCTATCAATAAAAAATTGACAAAGGGAACACCCCCCCCCCCCCGCCCTTAATATTAAGTCAAAACGCACCGTGCATTTAAAAACGCACCGAGGTGGTCCGAGTGCAGTGGGAAGTGGCAAATAAATGATTAACAGCATCACGTTAGAACGCAGCATCCCACACGCCCGCGGAGCGGCACAACAAAGGCAGCGGATGACGGTGATATTGACGGTGCGGCTGTGCGCGTTCGCCAGTGTCTGTAGGGAGTGGTGGCGGTGGTGCGCACAGGCACGGATATTCAAATGCAAGCAACAGACACATGTAATAACCGACGTGAACATTTGCCTCGCATCCGATCCAATTTCAGAACACTTTCATCTCGCGAGAAAGGCGACGTTTTAAGCCTTGCAAATACTTAGTTTATCTCATCCACGCCGCAGAGACGTGGCCGAATGTTATTTTGAACGTTCAGCAAAATTCGTTCTGTCCCGCGGGAACGATAAAAGTAGCAGCCGCCGCCCCCCCAGGCCATCACGTTTGTACGTACGGTGAACTTCGTTCGCACCATACCGTAGCCAACCGTGCTAATCGGAGGTGCGGAAATGAACCTTCCCTTCCCCCCTCCCCTACCCATAAATGCCTCACTACCGAGAGCAAAGGCACACTCACGGTCGTGGGGAGACACGCACACAAAGAACAGAACACCACTTTTTTTCCCACCGATAAAAAACCGAGGCCGAATTATAAAATGGTGCCTGCCTTTGTCATCGTGCCTTCACCACCCCAACAAACGTCACCTCACTCCTCTCGCCTTGCACTGAAGGCTCACGGTAGAACCCTACGCAGCAGCAGCAGCAGCAGCAGCGTCAATCGAAATCTGTTTCGGACACCAAAGGTCTCGCACTGTTACAGCCTCACGTCGGTTCTCTGCTGTCGCCCCCACGGTGTGAAACTCTCTACATCCCTTTGCACATCCGCAACATCAAATGGCACTCTGACTTTCAAGAAACATCTAAAGGCCTCTATCTGTTTGGTCAGGCTTTCGAGCAGCCTTGAGTTTGGCTCCGCGCTGACTTGGCGTGTTATAAATGTCATTATTGTTATTATTAAGAGGGTGGTGAGGGGGAGACGTCTTGACACTGAACAGAGCACAAGTGGTGTGTGTGTTGAACTTCTTTCACACCGTACATAGCCAATCGAGTGGAGGACCCCTCAACGAGAGAGCGTGAGAACACCGAAAAGCAGAATAAGGACACGAACAGGACATGTGTGTGTGTGCCATCTCTCGATCGAAGGATGAAGCCCAACAGACTATCTCAACGAAGGAGGATTTCTTCACAAATATGGCTATCACCACTAGAACGCCACAGTACTAGAATTGTAAATGTTGTGGGTTTACTCTCCAACGCACCGGTGTGCTGAAGTAGTCACTAATTGGCACGTTATGTTTACATGACGAAACTTACTCATTGGCTGCGTGGAAGTGATTGGCGGCTTTAGCGACACACTTTATATTTCCGCGATCTAACCCTCCAAAAAACCTTGATGAAGGAGTAGGGGGGATAAGCGGTGTAATTCTGGGCGCCCCTCTGCCTTCTGAGGCGTAGGAGAAGCATCTAGGGGTCCCAGAAGATGCGTTCATCCCGACCCGACGATGACATCATCGTCATCTTCGGAGGTCGACAATTCCGCCGCTAAAAATTACAGACGTACGGTGTTCTTGCTTGCTCGAGGCTTTATAGACGTACGTTTCTCGAGGCGAGCTTGGCCTCGTCTGCAATTCGCTGCGAGGCGCAGAAAAGAAGAGCGAGGCTTATGGGTGGGGGTGGCTCGGGCGAGCGCGCACTTAAGAGCCCCGCCCTCAAAAGCTTTATCCGTAGCTCGTTCTGCGGCCCCGTAGGGAACTGCCGAACGTTACGAATACCACTGCGGCCGGTGGCAGGCAGTGCAGGAAGAAGAATAGAAAATCACGCGCGCACCTGGCTCTCGAGGCCGCAACAACGTCCAACCCACACGCACGATCGAGCGGCAACATCGCAAAAGCCAAGCGGAGAACCTATACGAGCGCAGGAGCCTTTGGGCGTTATCCCCTACGTCCACGCGGGCGAGCCTTTTTCTCCGCGCAACCCGGTTTCCTAAACCACACAAAGCCCAAACGGGCTCATTCGTGGAATCGGCCAAACATTCCAATGCAGCAGGAGCCTCTACTGAAATACGAGTCCTGGAGACTCGGGCGAGCCTCTCTTGGGTAAACAAACGCTCACCGCTATAATCACTGCCGGCAATCTGCGAGCAAGCGCGCATCAACCGCTGACCTCGTGACCTCCGCGGCCGTGCGCGCCTTTCTATTTATTTGCATTACAAATATTTTGTTTCGTGGGAGAAAAAAAATGACCTCATTAGTGCGAGGCACTTGGTGGTGCTTATGGCGCAGAGACTGAACAGTATGTGCCCGCGTGCCCGCAGATGAGGATGATGTTACCGCGCTCGCACGGGCCGGGATATTTCTTCAGGACCTCAACAAACCGACGTGGGGGGGAGGGGGGGCATTAAATTTTTTGGCATCGTTGACGAAATTACGCGGCGAACGCTAAAGAAGGACTTTCACTTATTTGCCGACTCCCAGTGAACGCACTCAAGGAGAAGCGTTTCTCGCTAGTTTTAGGTGGGGTGACGGGGGGGTAGGCGGGGGGGGGGGGGGTTGCCAAAAGGATTAATTGCGAAGAAGCTGCCGCCGCCGCAGCGTTTAAGAGATTCTTCGTTTGACGAAGAAATTAGAAAAAAACACCAATATGCGATTTCAGGGTTGAATACACAGTCCCACATAAGCGTTTATTTTTAGCCAACACTAACTCACTCTAATGACATAATTTATCATCGGGTCGACTTTTCAAATCCTTCCATAAACCGCTATAATTATAGAAGACCGTAATTAACAAATGCACGGAAATCAAAAAAAGCGCCAAGGACAGGTAGCTGCGTAATTAATGAGAGGAAGCACGGTTCCCTCTGCGGAGAGCACCCTAATAACGAGACCAAATATAGCGCGGCGGCGGCGGCGCTACCGCCACCACCGCCGCCGCCCTGGGAAGAACGGGCGGCACGGGCGAGAGCGAGAGCCCCCCCTCCCCCCTTTCGTTCCACACACCGGCGGCGAGCGAAACGCCTCGCGGGGATCCCGCCCCCCCACCACACCCCAACAGAGTCGTTCAGCGACGGCTGGGGCGAGCGCCGGCTTATTTAAGGGGGTCGTAGCTGGCGCATCGCGTGCGCCCGGGCCGCCTGCGTCTTCCCAAACACCCCACCCCCCCCGCCTCCCCACAATCGTGCTTCTGGTAACACTTCCCAGACACTGATGTTAGCCGTGGCTGGGAGGTTGAACTCCAACCATCGTTGAGTTCCCCGCTCCGCCACCGCTTGCCCAATGTGTAAGCGCGCGCGCACGCACACGACTACGGGGAGGAGCGGAGGGGCGCCGCTGGCAACTTATAGACGTCGCCACAGCGCTTGTGCCAGGCTGGGAACACCGCGAGACCACGAGCGAGGGCGAGTGCGTAAACAGGCACTGCGGGGGGGGAGGGAGGAATATTCCTACGCTGCTGAACCCCCGAGATTTGCGTTCTATGGGCGCAGAGAAGTTTTCAACGCTCAAAACCCCGAGCGCGTGAATGCGATACCGTGGACGAAGTGCAAAAGAGCCAATGTAAAATTTACAGACGCGAACTGTGGTGGGGGGTGGGGTGGGGGGTGGGGTTCAGAGACGGCGTCTCAATCAAGGGCCTAAAAACCCACCGCGTAATAACTGCCACCCCACACCCCCCGCTCCACGGCACTGCCTTTGATGACGAACACACAGCAAGGGCTGTGTCTGCAGAGACTGTTAAACATTTAAAGGGACCGGGGCCAGAAACCACACTAATGAATGCTAACCATCACTCCCAATCATTCCAGGGCTCCTGGAAAGGGGGGCATGAAAGGAGGGAAGGCAGGGCCTGCTTATTACAGCCGATGACTCAAGGGTAGGACTAGCGAGGGGAGTTACAGCGAACGCGCTCCCAACTTACCGACCAGCTGTTGCCCGAAACGTACGCCTGGAGATTGAGGCTAACCCAATTCCTGTCTAGACTGTGGGCCACCTGTCTGACCAACCATTTTGATTTGCTCGATACACACGGTCAGCAAATGCACGGTTTGTGTTTTTGCCGAGCTTTTTAGTGGTGGTAGTTACAAGAATTAAACATCGTCATCAATTCACCGCTGCATGAAGCCCTCTCCCAAGCCCATGCTATCGCACGCAGTCGTGCATTGCATACATCCTGTTCGACTTTGCGATTTCCCTCCCAACGTTACTTTCCCAAGCTAGTATATAACCCTTGGCTCCGTTCGAGCAACGCGTTAAACTCTCGTCGATTACAACTCGAACGGTGCCGACCGTTGATGGCCACGCACAACGTATTAGCTTACTCGGGGAATGGGTTCAGCAACTTGCTTAAAAAACATACATCTACCGCCCACACGAGCCGATTTCATCGTTCCATTTCCAGGCGGGAAGCTGCCACGTGTCACAAGTGTCGACCGCAAGGCCGACGTCACCGCCAACGACGCGTCCTTCCTAAGAAGGCTATTTGTCAGATTTTTTGTTATCAGTCGGTCTACCGTGAGTACGCAACGCTGTACGATCCTGCGCGGTTCCTCCTTCTACCTCCGGATTGCAATTCCAGAGTTGTGCATCGTCATCGTCTCTCTCCGCGAATTTATATTCACTGCGCTGGTGAAAACGTTGGTGAAAACGTCGGTGATAAACTTTACAATTACGAATTTGCGGAACGAACAAAAAAAAAACCTGTGATGAGTGCGGTCGGACGCAACGCGCTAATTAGGCACGCCGTTTTACACACGAGAAGCCGGTGCAGTCAATTAGGATTTTTGAAATATGACCACGCACGCAAATACTCTCCCGCACGGACAACTACGGCAGGAAAAGGTTTTCTCGAGCGAGTCTTACCCGAGATGGCGAGAGGTAATTTAAGCAGGCGATTACCAAAGCAACGAGAATCTGGTACACAATTGGACAATTATAGGCCCTGTAATATCATTGCACATTGTATGTTTGTCGTTGAAAGGAGGATTGTGAATTAAAGACACCACTGGGCAGCTGGAGGCAATCGCCTTCCAACAACCACCTCCAATTAGCACGGTTGGCTCCGTACAGTGCAAAAGAAGTTCAACATACATACAACAACAACAACGGAGGGCAGAGAAAGCGACGTTCATAACAACGCGCGGAGCGCCGGGCGGCCAAAACGCAGAAAGCTGGCACAGTGGGGATCGCAGGTGGTGCATGGTTTGCATTTGAACAGAGAACATTGAAAAGATTTTGCAGAAAGACGCACACCACGGTGGAGTATGGATAGGGGTTACTTTAAGCGGGGACTGCCCTGCCTGGCGACCCAGAAAATATTTCCACACCTGGCACAACGCATTCAGTATTTACTACCTTTCGCAATTAGCTGTGGGCTACCAGTCACGTGCCTATTCCAAGTCTAATTCTGTTTAATCCTCTACGCAACGGCCGGTCTTTTGCTCAAACTCCCTCCATGCCGTTCTACCTCGGGAGTTTTATTCCGCATGTTCTGAGTCGACCGGCGATCCAAACAATATTCGGTGAGAAGCCAAGTCCTGGGTATGGGGGGGGGGGGGACCAGCGTTTAGGGAACTCTGCATGTTTTAAGTCCACGAGCCCAGACCAGATGTCTCACTTGTCTGTACCACCCGAGGTGGCGTAACTTTGGCGGTCTTAAAAATATTTACAGAGTCAATCACCGCGAATGATGTGAAATCCATTTGAAACGAGTGAGGTTATTAAATAATCAACTCTCATTCCGAGCTGTATAATTCTTCTTCTTTTGAATGGCTGATGTAGATGCAGAGCAACAACTACAATTTCACATTCAGGTTGTCAAGCGAGATAACCGCATCAGGAGCAGCCGAGTGTATCGCTGTAATGTCTATCTTCGTATTTGTGGATCGGGGCATTGAGTCGTTATATATCGTATGGTCTGTTCAGGACACTGGAGAGTTTTTAATTTAGCATTTCTACATCAGGTATCCGCATCTGCCGTATAAATTCATCGGCACGACTCAACCTTTGCTACCTTAGTTGGTACCGATTTCTGCCGCCGGCACATGTAACGAACGGTGCGACTTCGACGACAGCGGCAGTGACGCAAACTCACCCAGCTTGGCTTCCATCTCCTCCTGGCTCAGCTGCGGTCTGCGTTCCTCCGTCGCGGCTGTCGCGGCCGTCGCCCCGTGGGGCGGCCCGACCCTGCCGGCCGCCGGGGGCCGCCCGTGGCCGCCCTCGCCGTTGGGTTTGGAGGTGGACGCGGAGAAGGGAGAGGCGGTGGCTGCCCTGCCGACGTCGCCGCTGCCACCGCCTCCGCCCGGGTCCGGAAAGTCCTCGTCGTCATCATCGCTGTCGTCGCCGAGCAGAGCATTCTTCTTCTCGAGGGGAAGAGCCTCGGGCTCTTTGGCACGAATCGCGAAGCTTATGGGGGCGATGGTGACTGCGTTGTGGAGGACACGGAGAGGGCGGCGGTGGTTAAGAGGTTCTGCGCGGTAGGGTACGGAGCATCTGATCGTAACATTTATTTATTTTTCGTGACTTGCTTACCTCTTACCTATTTTACACTCCTATCGTGTTTTTGTATCATTGGTTGTTGTAACTTGCTGACCCCGCCCCTGCTGGACATGTGTGAAAAAGAGCTTCAACGCTCATTGGATTCCTCCTTCATTCCAAAAATAAAGATTCGGATTCTGAGCCCACTCTTCGCACGATTTGACGCATTATCACAATTCAGGGTCACGATTCAGTTGAGGAATATGCCACGGTTACCCAACTGAGGAACATGACTTGAGACCCACCATTCGTCACGAAGTGACGGTGACGTCACCAGGGTGCCTGTGCCAGGCCAGGTGCACTCACATGAAGTGTCAAAGGGCTCAGTGCTGGCAGAAGGTCACGGGACAGACCAAGGTGCCATGGGTTGACTAAGATGACTGGTGGATGCACCAGCTGTGCCCTCTACTGCGCCAACGGTTGAAATAATAAAAAAGCAGTTTTGGACGCGGGCTCTCCACGGTGCTAGCTCAGCACGAAAGCGTGTTTTGGTCTGAGTCGTGACGGCATCGTGGGCTCACTCTTTTGGGCTTTAGGGGCTTTGGCAGCGGCGGAGGTGGCGCTCGGAGGCTCCGTGGAAGTGACGCTGCCCTGCTGTTCCGTCCCATTGGTCGCTTGCGCCGCTGGTGCTCTCTGTAGGCAAAACCAAGTTACGCACGCACACACAGTCATCACACCAGCATAAGCGCGCGCGCGCACACACACACACAAGTACAGTACATGTAAAGCCCTTTGTCAATTCACTACTGGAAGAGGCCTTCCCCATGCAATGTGAGTCATGGTGGTTGTTTGGCCATACGTCACCACAACGATCAGTGCGGGTTGGTGAAGAGCGGGATTGTATTCAAGCGAGAGCATAGAAAGTACGGTACAATAACAAAAAACGTCCGTACTTTTAAATGCTGGCACACGCGCATATACGGTCAACAATTCCCCCCCCCCCCGCGATAACCTTAAAGCCTGTCGGGGCAAGTGCTGCAATTGAGCAACTATGAATGCAAGCATGGCACACGATAGGGTTGTGTGTACAGCACGAGGCCCCGTCACACGTATGCTTCGCGAGAGCTGATGATTACAAAACGCACCGGGTACTAATTCATGGCCGAGTCAACCTCCGCGGTAGGCCAGAGAAAATTGTGTCCGATTCCACTTGCTACTGATGTTGGCCGTCAATGCGCAGCGTGCAAACCACCGCAAAACGATTTGCTGCACGTAACCTACAAAGACCCCCCCCATATAGCCTGAACAGACTGTTGGGGCAAGTACTGTTCGTGAGTAGCGCCTATGGAAGTCGGCACGGCGCAGGAGTGGCTGGGTGGCCAGCACCACGCCCAGCCGCCTTCGTCTCACTGGTGCCGATGTTTACACATTCGACCTAGGGGGAGGCCCGAGACCGATTCAAATAATCGTCACTGATGTTGGCCGCGAACAGGAATCGAACTCGGGTCGCCGGGTTCGTATCACAGCGCGCACTATCGCTCCAACAGATAAACACACACACGCGCGCATAAAGACACAGCACGCGACCGCACAGCGAAAGCAAGATTAATAGAACTAAAATAAATACCTCTCTGCGAGAACTAGCCATGACTGAGATTTCATACCGAGACCAGATCTGCTTGGATTCCTAAAAACTCCTCTACGCCAGCGATCATTACTTCTCATTAAAACACAAAAGTATTTTTTTCTCCCCGAGTGCTAGAGAGAGAGAGAGGCAGCGTGGTGCCATGTCCGTCAATCACGTGGCCTCTGGGGGGGGAGGGGGGGAGTGGGGGGGTCCGTGTACAACAGACGATGCTTTGCAGCAATTCAACTTAAAAAAAAAAACACCCAACGCAAGACTTTTTTTTTTATCTTTGACGAGTAAAAACCCCACAACCTCCCCTACCTCGGCGCGCGCACGGGGGCTTGTTTTATCCTGCGAGCATTACAATTTTGCAGCAGGCTCATCACTAAGCAGCTGTCAGGCAGCCCAAGACCCGCCCCACTGCCTTCCTGTGAAAAGAATTTCAATAACAACGCCGCTGGATTTGGTAATTTAATCTGCGATCCTTTTTTTGTGTGTGCGTGCGCGTTAAACTTGCACGTCAAAAAACGATGCGTGTTTTTATTATTCAAATGCCGCTTGTCTGAAGCAATCAAGGGGTTTTCTGACGACGGTAAACAAAGCGGAGGACACAGACGCATGGGTAAAAAGGGCACAGCACGTTTCGGGGGGCGGGGAGGCGGAGGAAACTCATCATATTGCTTAGGACAACTCGGGGTGTGAGTGGATGGGGGGGGGGGGAACACAAATGTCAACGCTTATCAGAGTGTTATGGTGTTGATACGTTCACTGTGCATGCAAAAGTTTATCCCTAAACTAACACAATGCAATCGGCTGTGTATCGTATAAAAAAAAGTGAAAGGGTACGCTTGTGTCAGTTCGCACGTAGCTTTCGCTGGTTCAAGTGACATTACCACACACCCACACAACGGAAATTTGATAACACCTCCAACACTGAAATAAACACAGATATGCGAGGGCTAAAGGTTAAGGCGTATTAATCATCCTCTATCAAACACCGTGTCACAAAGGCAATGAGCAGGGCACCGTCGCTGGCAGATTCCTATAACCGATGGTCCCGCCGGTTGGGACAAACTGCGCCAGAGAATTTGCAGACGAGAGAGAGAGGGGAGTTCACGTGGCATTCAATGCCTCCGTCAGCAGAGGCTGGAAGAGCCCAGACACACTTGACTCCCATCTGCCGCCAGCAGGAACAAAAAAAAAACTCTTCACTGCAGAGTGGTGTGTGCGAGCGTGTGCGAGCGTGTGCACGGGCAGTGCGGTGCAGATTGGGGTCCTGGTGTCTGTGTGTATGGGTAGTGCGGTGCAGAGTGGTGTGTGCAGGCGTGGCAATATGGGAATTCGATGTTTCTACTGATCCGCATCGTCAGTTACAAGTGGTATCAGAACCTAGTCTGTGCCTCCCCTAGTTCGACTCTGCCTCAAATTAGTCATCGATGCAGTGTGTACATACCGGCGTGAAGTAGACAAAGGTGGCTGGCTATACTGCTGACCACACAAACCTCTATGTGCCACGCAGTCCACATGGCTATACGGTGTGTGCACGTCTTCGGTTGCGTGCCAGTTTGATTCCTGCCCGCAACCAACATCAGTGGCGATTATCAGAACCAGCGCTGGGCCTTCCCCTTGGCCAACTCAGCCTCAAAGGAGTATTTGGCGTGGTATGTAAACATCGCCAACGTGGGAGGACAAACGGTTTGGCCCGGCATACCGCCGATCGTGACACTATTTTTGTGTGCCGTGCTGACCGTAAATAGGCACTCACGAACGGCACTTGCCCCAGCGGTCTTTGGACAAGGCTACACGAGGGAGACCTTTGTCTTTTGTGCGAGTGTGTGCGCGAGAGATGAAGCGAGCCTGTGACCTGTTGCCGGGATGTCAACATGAGGCGCTCATCGCCCGGAGGGATAAGAGGAGTTTTGGCGCAGAGCGGGAGCCTGGTCAGGAGTGGGGCGTGAGCAGGGAGGGGAGGGGAGGGTGGTTACAGGATGGATGTGGTCGTGGGGGTGGTGGAGGAAGAGGGTGGAGTGGGGGGGGGCTGCCCTTATGAACACATGGAGAAGGATAAGAACTAGGTCTGAGTTGGGGCGATCTCAGATTACGAGTATGCAGCAACTTGCGATTGAGTCATCAGTAGCGGCCATGCTCTATCCACTTCCCGACATGCAACAAACTTGAAATTTGGCATGTGGATAGCTTCCAGAATGTACATAATGCAAAATGTATAAAAATGACTTTTGTGTCACCCGCATGCGGCAGCGTCACGAAGTGTGCCTGCTGACGTCACGCATCGCCCCCCCCCCCCCCAACCCTCCGCGTAGGGCGTCTATTAATCCAACACAAGAATCCAAGTCTCGGGCGAAGCCGGGTAGTATAGATATTTATGCATATGTAGTATTCTTGAATGAGACCGAGACTTCGTAGAGGCCACACGCTTTTATTCCAATAACACTAGTCCTCAGGACTCACTGGGGGAACAGTCCAACCACACAACCTAGGGAGGTACAGCCTCCGGCTCTATTCTCATTACTCTCCTTCCCTAGCCTACAGCTACTCTGTTACTCTCCTTCCCTAGCCTACAGCTACTCAGCCCACTCAGTTCCAGCGGGGCGGCATCCTCGAGGCTTGGGGGTCCAGGATCTCCGGCCGCACCTCCTTCAGCTTCTCCTGAGATCGACCCCTCCGCTCTCCGGGAGCCGTCTTATATCCCCTCTCTCTGAGGGGCGGGGGTGTCTCGGGCCCTGGCTCTCGCCAGCCCCCTCCCCTCAGAGCGGTTCCAACCACCTCTCGTCCCTGTCGGTCCGGACCGGTCCAGACCGGTACGTACCTCTCCCCTAGCTTGTGTGACCTGTGTGACCTGTGTCAACCTTGGTGTCAACCTTGACCACCACACATATATTATCAAAGTTTGTTTGCATGTTCACCACATTAATGCAGACTTGATTCCTTGAAAAGGGTTTCTATTTGGTGTTTGAACATCTTAACATCAGAGTTTTATTTCCAGAAAGGGTCAAACCTATTCTTATTTTTCATACTTTTATATTGGCAAAAGGTCCCATGATATAGCTGCTCACCCCGAGCTATAAATGCTCTGATACGCGTGGCATTGTCTTTGTCCCGTTTGTCTTTTGGCGTTGTTCTCTGGTCTGACAAGGGTGGGACTCGGCCATAAAGAAGGCTTCTCTGGTGTAGGTAGGTCAATCAGTTTCAAAGACAAGGCATATATTATCAGACATTGTTTGCATTTCACCACAAGTACGTGGGGCTAACGCAGTTAATGCAGACTTAATACCTTGCAAAAGGCATCTATTTGGCGTTTGAACATCTTATTCTGATTCGGATCAACGAACAAATGTGTATAATCTGCACACTCGTGATCACCTAAGTTGTAAGAGCTGCGCGTTTATAAATTTACTTATTCACTCCAGGAGATGGCTACACACAACTAACTCGTTGGTGTGTTTTTCAGGTTGTACCGCGTGATGTTCGTCGCACCGCTCGGGGTTCAACCCCGCGCGCCGAGAAATTATTCGCACGCGCTGGAAGCTTCACGAACAGAAGAAGCTCTCGGCACGCGGATCGAAACGTCGGACATCGTGCCGAAAGAATGCACGACCCGAGAGCACAACGATCGCACACACCTCCGATTAGACCAGTTGGCTGCATACGGTGTGAAAGACGTTGAACATTCATGAAAAGTACAATCACAAAATCCTACGCAGTGCTGTGCACATTGCTACCGTGCAAAGTGCAGTGGGCTTTTCCCATAATACTATTGGGCCGAACTGAAGTTTCTTTGTTTATTTATCATGTGCATATTTTAAACCAAATGGCTTTGGGCAGGACACATCGGGGTGATAGCCGGTGATCAAGGCGAATGAGGGAATGGCAGCCAAAGGACGGAACTCACCCGAGAATACATCCAAGGGGGCGCGCGAATAAAAAAACCATCTGGTGTACAGGTGCCCGACGGATCACTACGCCACGGCACCGTGCAGGATGGCGACGGCTGCTGAGGAAGCCTTCATCCGGCAGTGGGGATTGAATACAACTGCCGATGATGATTTTGACGAGACTGGATATAATGACTAAAGCTATTGATGCGGTGGTGACACCTGACGGTGGACCGCAAAACAGATTTATGAACCTTGTTGCAAAATGCCCGGCGGGCGAGCGGGGGAAGAAAAAAAAAACGCCACGCTCGTCGCAACGCACGTACCGTGAGAGGCAGGAGGCCATGTTTCTCCACAAAGAAGTTCTTCTTGAACTCGTAATACGCGTTGTACGAGTGCCAGGACTGCAAGAAGTCAAACCTGCAGCAGGAGGGGAGAATTGCACCGGTGAGACACGCCGCCGTCGCCACTAACGCCGCATGGTCGTAACATAAAAGTAAATCCACAGGGCCCCCGTGTGGCCAAAACATCGCTCGGGGGGGCTGTGGGGGGGGCGGTGGGGGGGGGGCGGTGGGGGGGCGGTGGAGGGGGCGAGTGCGAGACACCACACATCTGCCAAACGGTGACGCCTCCCCTCCCGGGAATCGCTGCGCCGCTTTGTGCCGGCTTCCTCCCGAGCCATCTCGGGACCAAGATAATGGTCTAAATAATACATTTGACAATTGCTGCCAGTGAAGCGCACGAACACGCACAAAACGAGAGGTGGCGGAACAACAAAAATAATTTTAGTGGGAGAAGCAGACACAATTGCGAGAGCAAGGGGGTGGGTGTTGTGTTACACATCGTTGGTGTTGTTACATATCGTATCGCTGCGTAGTTGTCGCGAGCAAATCGACGACGCCTGCAGGCCACATTTGTCGCGGTGTAGTTGACGATGCTACCCCTGGTCTACACGCCGGTCTCATATTGGCAATGCACCAGGTGCTGCGATTCATCAAACGAACGAAATAACAACCAGGGCTCAGCATAATCACTCGCGTAGTTGCGGAGAATATATATCACAAAGCAGACAAGCGGATAATACGTTCCCTTCGAATATCCGAGTGCATTCGGAGCAAGTGGCAATACTCCCGACTGGTTAAGACATCTCTGACTCTCATCAGTCTGTTACACAGGCAAGCTGCCAGGTATCCTGATTTACACGCAGTTTACAGGGGGAATCAGCCAGCACTTAACTATCGGCTCCGCTGCCAATAAACGGCATCTAACATCATTTGATGCCACGTTAATGCAGAGGGGGTGGTTTCAGACAACGGAAGATTATTATGATTATTTTGAGAGATATCCTACTTCCCCCAACATTACGACATTCAGTCTCGCTCGACGCTGGGCCGAATTCACAGAACACTTGGCCCTTTGCCCCCAACCGGACGAACAGAGAAAAATAACACTTCCAAAACGTGAACGGGATTCCGGCCTTTGAGATAATTGCTCGGAAAGTGGCCCAATCACGTCCCGATTTTGAAAGACAATAAGCAGGGTTGGGCTAGGGATAGTGGTCAGACCGGTCGGTGCCCAACTTTCAGAACCGGCTCCAGCTCCTCACAGATGGTGGGGGCTAATAGAGCTATAAACTATATTGTATCTTACAGGGTAAGGCCCACTGAGCTGTCTAGCTCTTTTTCAGACGTGACCTGCCCATAAATGATAGCTCAACAAAGTGGCTTATGATGTGCAATTTGATTTTAGCCAAATACTTTAATAGCATGTTTCTAAATGTGGAGGGAAAAACCAAAGGACCCGGAGAAAAATCCATGCGACCACGGGGACAGAGATATGGGACGAAACCCACAACCTCCTGTATATACAAGGCGAGGTAGTTAACATCTCATTACCGCAGTTTGTGGTGGGGGGGGGAGGGGCACTGTAACAATGATTCACCACGAAAGCGTGAACTTGGGTGGGGTGGGGTGCCGAATGGGCATTAGGTGGTGCAGTGTCCACCCCCCAACAGCCCTCTTTACACCGACCCTGCTGAAATTCACAACACGGGAAGCCCTTGGGGAGGCGTGGCTACGCGACAGACTCCCCTGCAGAAAATATGCACCGTACTTCTATGCTACCTGCAAAGGCCAACGTGGCACAGCATGGTCGAATAACCCCCACGAGCACTCGCACGGCGTGATGAAGCCCTCGCCCGAGCTGCATGCGTCCACTAGAATGCGTCCACTAGAATGCGTTCACTAGAACGCGTGCAAACGTGAATAAAGGCAACTTGCTTGTTGTTGATGATGATGAGCATTACAAGTCACGTGTTGGGACAAGGTGTCGCGTGTAAGGAAGCAACGATAATAGGGCGGATAGGCAAAAATGTGGTGTGGTATTTAGCGCTCTTCGATGAGGTCCCAGAGTTCGATTCCTTCTGGCCAAGGCTGTACAAGAATTTAACAATGTGCCCTTACATGGGTGTGGAAATGCATTTATTTGCAAGCCACGGCATAATATCTGTGTGGGCATTGAGTTACTGACACCGCCAAAGCTGACGAGATCATTATCAAGATTTCCGTGAAAAACCACGTCATGCTCTTAACTGCAATTTACACCGCGCAAACAAAAAAGTATTTTTTTTCCAGTTACTGTTGTGCACGAGACAGCGCCCGAGCGTCAATCGTCCTGCAAATATAACCTTCCGCCGCATCAATATTTTCTGGGCAGCGGGGGAAGTCCAGCGATAAAACGAGGGAATCTCACAGAGAACTGGGTAGCAATTGTCGTCAACAAACGTCACCACTGCTGTCAGCGAGTAACATCTCTGAAGCTCCGGGTTAGAAGCTGCGCGCGGACTCACAGCCGAATGATTCCACCTGGGACAACGGAAAGATGAGGCGGGCGCGCGCTCGCTTCCCTTTCAACGACTCCCCCACCCCCCCATCCATTCCCATCGCCTTCCGCGCGCATCAATAAAACATGTTCTCCACGGCGGCACTTACACATCTGCGGCACGCGGAGCACTCCATGGAGCACTCAAATAGGATTTGCAGTGGCGAGATTTAAGAATAGACCCGATACATTTAGTCGATCGCATTCTAAAGGGGGGGGGGGGAGGGTTTATCCACCTTTTTCCATAACACGAGGCAGATTATTTTTTGTTATTCTTTTTCCCCGCTCGTAGCCAGGGCACGCTGTGCCGCGAAGCGCGAACGCCGCGTGCCGTTTATTTCTTGTTAAATTAAGAATGCGTTGACGGACCGGCCATTTGCCGCTGCTGCCGAGGCCGTCGTTAATATTTTATCGCAAACGTTATTAGAAACGCGCAGTCATGATTACGACGAGATAAAAAAAAAATCCCCTAAATATTTTACGAAAAACAAAACACTTTTGAGCCGGATGTTTTCGTTGGGACGCCCAGCTTTCCCGCGTGTAACACAAAACATTCGGTCTCCCATTATTGGTCTATCGCTTACCAAGAATGCGTTATCTGGTACACTGTGCTCCACGTTTTTGTATTAATGTGTTGGGGGGGTGGGAAGTGTCTCATGAACCGTTTTACGCGAGTCTCGTTGAACTGTTTGAGTTCTTTTTCCCTCGCCACGGGACTGACTTTCCACAGCCGACTCAGGCCTTAGAACAGAGATGACAGCCACTCCCCATTGACCCCTGTGAGCAAGGAAACCGTCGCACCAACGGTCTCAACTCAATCACCAGAAATTGGCATCGCATAAAATTAATTTGGCGAAAGTCCGGCTTGGCGAGTAAAAAAAAAAAAACATCGGCTTGACTTCTCACAAGACAAACGTCACTCTCCCAGCGGCAGAACGGATGGACAAACGCTGTCCCCCCCCCCCTCCCACACACATGCCCACCCACGCCCCCCTCTCCCCCTCACGGTGTCAACCAGGTCACATTGAAGGGATCTCGGAGGTAGCTCTGCGTTATGCGCTTCCGCACCGAGCGGGGAAAAAAATCGTTAACGCCACGGCGGCTGGCGGCGGACGAGCGGCCCAAGGGCTCTGGACCGTTTCGCATACCTGGGGTCGTTCTTAGAGCGGACTCCGTCCTCGAACTCGAGCCCGTTCTTGGCGACGTACTGCGCCAGTTTGTCGATGACGGGCTGCACGTCGGGCGGCGGGGGGATCACGCTGGGGATCGCCGCCGTGTGGCTGCAGGGGGGGCGGTGGAGGGGGGCCGGGGGTGACACACAATATTCACCCGCACGACGCTAAAATTAGTTTGTCGATGAGTTTGTCGATGACGGGCTTGCACGTTGGGGCAGCAGGGGGATCACGCTGGGATGGCTGCACTGGGGGGGGGGGGTGAGGTAGGAGGTGGGAGGGTAATGGTGACACACTATAAAAAAAACTATTTTTATTTCACCAGGTAAGGCCTACTGAGCTGTATAGCTCTTTTTCAGAAGCGGCCTGGCATGATGTTGATTCTAAATGTGGAGGGAAAAACCGGAAGACCCGGAGAAAAATCTACACGACAAGTCGTCAGGGTCGGGATCGAACCCACGACCTCCTGTATACCAGGCAAGGTAGTTAACATCTCGCGTGGCCCCCACGCAAACATTCACTCGCACCACGCTAAAATTAGGGATGTAGCTCGGAAGCGCCGTAAAACGCGCATGCCGGCAGCTGTGTGTGGGGACGCAATGCCTGTGGATCAAGAACGTTGGGGGGGAAATATTTGGCGGATCGTTTACAAAACCCATCAGGCTGGGCTGCAAGGCGACCAGGAGAAAGGCAGCGCGATAAATTAATTTTTTTATCGATCTGCGCGAAAAACGTCAACGCGTTACCACCCTCGTACGAGTCGGGGATTTTCTCGGCAATCATTTTTTTTGTTTGTTTAGATTTGTGGTCGAGGCTCAGCGATGATATCCTGGATAAATAACGATCCCTTATACCGTTCTGACGAACAATAAACAATGTAAACTTGCCACTATAGCCACAAAGCGGCACATTGCCAGTTCGACCCCGGGTACCTCGTGGCCAAGGCGTCAGCCGTAGGGGTCACGATCGGTTGCGCCGAGTTCCTGGCACCAACGGAGCTGGCGGCGGTCACGACAATCGTGCCGGCGGCGGAGGCGGTGTTGGCGGTGTTGGAAGTGTTGGCGGTGTTGGCGGTGCTAGCAGTGTCGGCGGTGTCAGCGTTGTTGGCAGTGGTAGTCGTGTCCGTCCCCTGGGTTGCGTCTGACGGGAGCGAAAGGTATGACGACGACGACAGTGGCGGCGGCGCCAGCCCCGGCGGTGGCGGAGGGGCAAGCAGCGTGGTGGCTTGAGCACCGTACGCGTACTCGGACATCTTGTCGGCCGCCGGTGCCGGCGGCGGCGGCCCCTGGATGTACGTGCCGTCCGGCATCACGTAGTAGCCGTAGTACATCGCCACGGCCGCTGTGCACGCACGACACAAAGACAAGGATCAATCCTCCCCCCTCCCTCCAGGTATAGCCTCAACAAACTGTACAGGCAAGTGCTGTTAGTGAGTAGCACCTCACCTATGAAGGCCGGAACAGCGCACGAGGGGGTGGTTGCCTAGCACCACACCCGGATGCCTTTGTCTCCCGAGTGGCGATGTTTACACACCGCACAAAATACTCATTTGTGACCGAGTCCACTGAAAGGAAGCCCAGAACCAGTTCAAATAATCGTCGCTGGTGTGGGTGTCCATCACCGGAATCGAACTCGGTTCGCCGGGTTCGTAGCGCAACGCAATAACTGCTACATTACCGCTCCCGGCATTACATGTGTGTGTGTGTGCGACCACAATACATGCACACACACACATAATGAAGAGGTGCATTCACATTTACTAATACATTTATTGGAATCTTTCTCCAGATAAATCGTTTGAGATGGAACATCTCGTTTGCGAAAGTGTCCAGAATGTTGACTGACTTGTAATAAGAATTATCCGCGTGCCGAGTACCCGGGTTGCGGATTAACCGCGTGAGTGAAAAAAAAAACGGGGGGAAAAAATCACGGTACGGAATATTTCCCGCTCATTCGTGCGCCGGTTCTATTATTAATCGCTCCCTCACTTGTCACTCGGTGACCGATTAATATTCTAATTCAATACTAAAACAGGCGACGCATTCTGCGTGGGTAAACGATATCAACATGCCGGCATATCCTAACGTTGCATATTGCTTCGTACAAGATTCGTCTTTTAGTTTTACAGCCCGGCCATACCTCTCCACCATTGCCCCAGATAAATCGTGAGTTAACCTACTGTCAACACAACCTCCGTCGGGGGAAAAGTCAAGCTTCAAATGACATTTGTTTTGTTTAACCAGGTGAGACAAGGAATTAATGTTAGTTGTAAGATCGACATAAGGGCATTAGTTTACCTGTAAAAGGGGGCGATGATTGCCGTAAACAGTTTAACACGTCGGAGGCTTTCGCGATCAATATCATCCATAATACAGGTTTTTTGGGTTGGATCGCGTAAATATATAAATGTGTCGTTAAACCCGCTACCAACCGACACAGCCAATAAGTAAGGTTTGTCACGTAAACAGAACGTGACAACACAAATCTGGCTGCCGCCTGATGATGCCGGTTGTAATTACTGGCGAAACATCATCCTCAAGATTGTAAATGTTGTGGATGTGCTCTCCAACACACCGGTGTGCTGTACGAGTAATGAAATGGCATGTTCTGTTTACGTGACAAACCTTACTAATTGGCTGTGTCGGGTGGTGGAGGGTTTAACGACGCATTTATATTTACGCGATCTCACACAGATGCTGTGAACAGTATTTCCAAGTTTCACGCAAGTAGCAGTAGTTGTATAGTTTGTGGACTTTCGTATTGTTTGTTGATTTTTGTTGTTGTATTGTTTTGCTGTTGTAACATCTGTGAAAAAATAACTTCATAGCTCATCGTAATTCTCCAGGATAAATAAAGATTCTGATTCGGTTAAGCGAGGAATTACCGTGTAATAAACCAAATTGAGTCATCCGCGGTGTGCGAATTTTCTAATTTTGGACCCCCAACACCTCCTTCTCCGTGGGTGGTTCTCGCACCCCCTACCGGGTTATCATTGAGTCCTCTATCCCATGTTTCCCCACCACATCATTGCCTCTTCATATTTTATTAAGCACTGTGCATCGCGAGACGTGGTTGTGACCAAATAAAAGGTAGGCGCCACAAAACGGCAAGCCGACCGCGGAGATGGAGCGATGAGATTAGCTCGTGCGCAGGAACTATTTTGCGGATCGTCGCATCGCGAGGGTGTGAGAGATGGCGACGGCTTCGGGGGGGGGGGGGGAAAGCCTCATCCAGCAGTGGATAGCCTCACGGCTCGTGACCATCAAAGATGTTTCAGATTCACACAACAACCTTGTACCGGTTTCAACTTCACTGAGCCTTGTCAATGGCGGAGCGGCTCATTACACTGATGTCACTGCCAATGCGGTCCGATGTCGCCTTGTTTCGGCAAATGCTTCCCACAAACATTAGCGCAGAATCCTACGTTTTTAAGATAACAATCTGCAAAAGCCATTACGTTTCTCAAGCAACAAAAAAATCGCTAATAAAATATTAATGAGCAAAATGAAACATTTTTATTAGACAATTTAACGTTGGATATCAAGTGGGACGCAGGAGGGATTTCGAAGCGCATTTTTTATTTCATTAACAGCCTCCTCCTTGTCCACTCGGCGAAAGTAAAAAGCTTTAAAATTACCCCGATGCCACTCGAGCAATCCGCAATTTCCCCCCCAACACCCGCCCCCCCAAAACGATGAGAAGGCAACCACTTGACGAACAACGGCTCTCTTCCTCCGCAAACCAATCGAGCAAGTTGCGTTCAAGTGGTGTGCGCACGTGATAGGCGCGTCGTACAGGGCCCTTGCTTAGAATGCGAAATGCGTTTAAGCGGATGTCACGACGATGCCCGGGCTCAAACGAGCATCGAAGCGGTTGCTCTTCCCCCGTTTACAGGCCTGAGCCCGTGGTGGAAAATTCCACGTTTCTATGACGGCGGCGAGTCAACGTCGAGGATAACCACTTGTCAAGCCGGCAGGGATGATGGGCCAAGTCAAACTAACCATCATGTGAACTCGGGTCATCCTCGCTTTTGGCTCGCCATCGAACAAAGACGGTCACTGCATCGCGCGCTTTCAAATGCGATTCTGCGGTCGTGTGGAACGCTCTTCCTTACAACATTAGGAAGCCACTGGAGCTATGCACTTTTAAATCATACAGATTGAAAACTCATTTCTTGAGAACTGCTTTTTGTGTTTAGTTTGCCTCCCCCCAGCACCTCCGATTAGCACGGTTGGCTACGTACGGTGCAGAACAAGTTCAACATAAACCCCCCCCCCCCCACCCCCTGACTAGCATCTGAACTTTCAAACGTTAACTGACTGTGGTTGAACGTACATCTAGTGTAAATTGAAGGCAACGGCGAATTTATTATCAACGACAATGGCAGGTGAGATTCTCAGAAAGGCCGAAATATATCTGGAAGTAAAACTGAAGTTGAAACGTTGTCAACCAACCGTCAAAAAATCAACAACGTTTTCAAGGTGCTTGTCGACGAGCGGGTGAAATGTGGTTGAGAAAATAACTGTGGGTATTACTCCTGGAAATAGCAACTGACAAAACTGTCCCGGGCAAAGTAATATTTGAAATAGCTGACATGCCAATTTCTTTTTTAACGTGTTAAGAAGTGCCACACGCTCACCGGACAAAAGTAGTGGCGGACCAAACAGGCTCAACAACTTGGCCAACCCGGCAGGCTCAGCGTAACAAGCTGCCGATGAGACCCAAGGTCGAAACGGTCCGTGTTAACTCTTTGGTTCTTTCGTAAAGTCACGTAAGTATAAAATAAAATTAATTAAATCACGACGTTTCAGGGGCAACACAAGTGTCCGTCATCAGGTGGGACAACCACAGCAAGAAACAATTGCTGAAGTGGGCAAAAGGGCTGCTGTGACAGGAGGCTATATATGTCCGTGTTTGTTGAAACAAACAAACGCTGCTTTGAGAACATGAGAGCCAAGCCACAACATTTACAATCCGAGTACGACGTTTCACTATTAATTACAACTTGCTTCATCAGGCGACAGCCAGATTTGTGGAGAGGTCTTTGTACTTCGGATTGTGTCTATTCTGATGTCAATTCCCCTACATGCCCTCGGTGTGTACCTGAAGCATTTGTTCAATAAAAGACTTTTGGAAAAAGATATCTTAACTATATATATTTTACAAGGTAAGGCCCACTAAGCTATACAGCTCTTTTTCAGAAGTGACCTGACCACAAATGACAGCCCAACAAAGTGGCTTATCATTACCACGTAAAAATGTATAGCAGGCCAAAATAGTCCCAATGCATATTAATTGTAAATGTGGAGGGAAAAAAATGGAGGGACGTGGAGAAAAATCCACGCGACCACGGGGAGAGAGAGCATGCAAACCCCCATGTATACAGGAGCAGGCGTCAGGGTCGGGATCGAACCCACGACCTCCCACATACCAGCCGAGGGAGTAACATCTCCCCACACACATTACCAGTTCGAATTAACAAATAACGTAAATGGCGGTGTTCATCAAGTGGGACGAAAAATGCTTAATGTGCTCCGATGAAAAGAACATCTTCAACAGATGCACACCGCTAGGCGCGATATACTGCTTATAAATTATGTCGGCTCGGAAGAGAATTAGTCATTTTCTTATTAATGAAATTTGAAACTGTGGCGTAACCCTGCAGCCAACGGGTTCAAGCAGGTCAATAATATTTCATGAAAATAAATGACATCGTTAAAACCTGCCCCAACTCCCCTAAATATTTGACAGAAATACATTATGAGCCACTGGACGGACACATTTCGGACGCGCGAAACATTATGATTTTGGGGGAATGTCTAACTTCCAGCAGCGTCAAGATATAACAAAATTGGCCAAACCCAAAGAAAGCCACTGGGCAGCATTGATAAGGCAAACACACGCCAACGGAACAACACAACTATCGCTCAGAGATTTCAAAGAGGCTTATAAACCTGCTTGCACACGGCAAAACTTAAAAATATGGCGTATTCAAAAGAAAGTGTCCGTTTGGCGGCGCGTATCTGCGCAACGCAAGACAGGTATGTCCTTTAGGAGCGAGGTTTTCTTTACAGCCAGCCCATCGATGGACCACAACGCTGGCCGCTTCCGTATCGTTCGCTCGGTTGCGCAATCCGCGGTTCCGGAAGGTGGAATATGTCAAACGGTGCACGAAACGACAGCGGTCTGAACCTGCAGCGGCAGGACGCGTCGAGCACCGGCCCGCGCCGCCGTTTTAATGCGTTCACCACCTTCCTTCGCCAAGCGTTCGACAGATCGTCGAATCGCAACTCCCAAAACACCATCATCATCAGCCGTGGTCGATCCACTGCTGGATTAAAGACCTCCAACCCCCCCCCCCCCCCACCAAAGACGCTCTCACGATCCTGCGATGTAATAAACTTCAAAATCATCGACTCTAAACTTAAAACGAAACTTTTTATTTTACCAGGTATAATAGCTCTTTTTCAGAAGCGACCTGGACACAAAAGATATCTCAATGAAGTGGCTTATCATTATGTAGTACTTTACAGCAGCCGTATACTCTTAAACACATGTTTTTAAATGTGGAGGGAAAAATAAGAGGACCCGGAGAAAAATCCACGCGACCACAGGGAGAACATGCAAACTACAAATATTACAGGCGTCAAGGTCGGGATCGAACCCACGACCTCCTGCAAACAAGGCGAGGTAGCTAGAGGGGGGGGGCGGGCAGGGGGGCGTGGACAGGATGGATCCTCAGATACATTGTCGCTAGCGCCATCGTGGTGACATTTCATAGGTCAAGGGTTTCATCTTCTTGGTTCTTTCGGTAAAGTCACGTAGAAGGGAAGTAATCAAATAATAAAAATAAAACAAAATAAAATAATTCTCACGACGTTTCGGCCACAACGCAAGCAGCTGCCCTCAGGTGAAGAACAGGTCCCCGACAGACCTGGTCTTCACCTGAGGACGGCTGCTTGCGTTGTGGCCGAAACGTCGTGAGAATTATTTTATTATGTTTTATTTTTATTATTTTATTACTTCCCTTCTACGTGACTTTACCGAAAGAACCAAGAAGATGAATCCCTGCAGTCACGAAAGCTTTAAATCGAAAGGTCAAGGGTTACCAGTCACAAGGCAGTATGGGGGGGGGGGGGGGGGGGGGGGGGGAGGTCAACACTCGACCAGGTGAGAGAGCCTCACCTGCAGCGGACGCTTTGGTGGGCGGCGTCTCCTCCTCCTCCTGCTCCGGCGCAAGTTCAGTCGTCCGCTCCTCGTCCGCGTCGAACGGGGTGGGGCCCTTGTCGTTCGGCGCACCAGCTGGGACTGGAGGCTCGACGCCGAGCGGGGGAGGGGTTGTCGGTTCCTGGGTGTTGATCGAGTGACAGTCGCCCCCAAGGGGTTAACCAAAGATCCGTTCGCCCAACTCCACGATCCGATCGCTCGTCTCGATTCGCGTGTGGGGGAGCGGGGAAAGGCGGAAACGATTCCGTTGCGTTTTAACCCTTTGTGGTTGGTGAATAATCTGCAGCTGTGTGAACGGAGAGAAATCGACTCTTACGTTGTGTGGAATGCAGTAACTGACAGCCCCGCCAGGTCATGGACAGTCGAGTTGCAGTACGAGGGAAAAAAAAAAATATCTGTTGTTGTACTATACTTTATGTCCCCATATCTATGCTCCCCGCACCTTCGCCAACCTGCATTGACCAGCGTGGTGAAGTATGGTTCGGCCAAATAACCCCCACGGCCTGCATGGCTTGGGGACAGGGCCCCGTTCCAGCAGTGGAAGGATAAGGGCTTGCACATGTAAACACCTTGTAAGATGCATCAATCGTGAGCCTTAAGGAGTTAATTATAATCCATGAGACAATACACGTGTTCATTTTCTAACCGCGCAGGAAAATGCCACGTAAAACCTTTGAGGTTATGAATTTTCCCCTCTTTGCACAGAGCAAAGTGCATCGGAGAGTATTTAACTTTAAGAGATAATTTTCATCGTGGAAAGAGGAGAAAGGGAGAGAAGATCACTGGACAGAGAGAGAGAGCGCAAAGAAGGGAGGTCCACTGCACAGCGAGAGTGGGTTCACGGGTGTCGGGCGAAGAGAGGACAGTTCTTCTCACCGCCGGGGGAGCTTTGACTTTCTTGTCGGGCTGCGCCAGGGCGTCCGCAGGTTCGGCGGCGATCATGCGTGCTCGCAGCGCCATGGCCATGAGCGGGTGGTTGGGATCCACCGTCGTTAGGGGCTGCGTGTCGACGACGGCAGGCCGACCAGTTCACACACGCACGCGTTAGGCCATGCGACAGCAGCTGCCAATCATCATCATCGTCATCATCAGAAAGGCATAGGTTGACAAATCACCCTCACGTAGAACAGTTCTGCAGTAGTCTTCAAAGTCGCTGAGCTTTTCGGAATAATTTAAAAGAAATTTCTTCACATTTGCTGCCCTTCGTCAATCCACTGCTGGATGAAGGCCTTCCAATACCCTTGTCAGTCGTGGGGGTTGTTTAACCATACTTCACAATGGTGGTGAGAGCTGGCTTAGCGAAGAAGGAGGGGGACAGGACCACCGGCTCTCCAAGTACGAGGCACTGATGCAAAAATCTGCCAACTACGGCACCACCGTTCCAACCCACAAAAGAACATGTTTAATAAAATTAGGTTATGTCACGATTCATAAACACAAATAAATGGCATTCGAATGCATTACTAATTAGCACGGTGGGCTACGTATGGTGCGAAAGAAGTTCAACATACATAAAAAAGTTTATTTCATAAACATACATATATATGCACAGAACTGGATTGCACTGGCCGACAGCTGAAACGCATTTGTAAACAAAGACTTTAATTAAGACTCGCGCGGAGAGTGTGTCAGTTTGGCCAAAGCTGTCCCTGACAAATTAAGAAACGTGCAAGCGGAGAAGGTGGGGGGGGGGGGGGGGGCGCTGAGCGTGGCTTTGGCTGGGCCGATAACGCTCGACCGGTGCCGTGGGATGCTTAATGGTTCTGCCCGTCAGCGAGCATAGAATGGGAAATAAAAATGGTAATTTTCAGATAATTAGAGCGGTCTTTTTTGGCGCAACGGCAATCGTGAAGGTGGAACCCCCGTAAAAAAAAAAAAAAAAGCTGAACGCGGTAATTTGCTAACCAGGCTTTAATAATGCAAACATTAGCCGCTCCAAATCTGCTGTGCCAACACTTGTTCAAATCAATAGCCTAAACACGGAGGCCGAGGTAAGGGTTGAGATGCATTTTGTCAGGCGAGCCGCGTGCGGCCACGTGGCACTGTACAACGAAGCAATCGCTGTCGGTTGCTCGCGCTGTATCGCGCATTAAGAGCGCGGAACACAATTACAATTTCAATTTGCAAAGTGTCCAAACACAATTGAGTCGAGAGACGTCGCAAAGTTGGCCGCGCGATGAACAGGCGCACTCGATTTATTCCAAGACTGCGCTCCCTTTGCCCCTCATTAAGTCAAGTCTACGCACGCAGTTAGGCTGTGCGCGGGCAATTGAGATCTAACGAGCTAAAGGGAAGAACAAAACAACCAATTCCCCGCACGTTTCACTTCATTTTTTTTCTCTTTCTTTCCCTTCCCCAAACGAAGCAGCGCGGGGGGGGGGGGGGTGGGGAAGTGGGCTTCGAGGAAGAGGGAAGCCAAAAAATATATATATAATCTCTTTTCCCGCACACATCTACCCAGCCCGTGCGTTCCCAGCAGTCCAACGCCCAAGTGCGAAGTCTCGTTGACGAGAAAACAAACGTGGAAGTTAGCCACCGCGTCGCTATTGCACCAGTGACATCGGAGTAACGTGCGTCGTCACTCCCGTGCATTTCTGATCGACTCAGAGAGGTTGGCCGGGTGGCGCCGACGGTCAGAGCATGCCGGAGCTGGCGCCGCCAAACTCCTGGGTTTGAATTTGGGGGCAGTTGCCTATGGGGGCAAACTCGGGTTCTCAAGCGCAGCGGGTTAACTGTCTCAGCCCGGTCGCCAACAATTGCACGAAAAAGCCACCATGGCGTTAAATGTGGGTCTCCGGGCGATGAAATATAAACATCGGTTCAGCCGTCGCACGAAGGACATTGCTCCCAGCGGCAGGGGTGGATGGGAAAGTGCTGCCCCCGAGTGTGTGAAGAGATCTTAATGGCAGCTCTCACCCAATTTTTTACTATTTTAACTATTTTATTAAAGTCACGTAGGTGTAAAATAAAATAAATCACGACGTTTCGGGCGCAACACAAGCGTCAATGTTACCAGGTAAGCCCCACTGAGCTGTATAGCTTTGTCAGAAGCAACCTAGCCATCACAAATGATCGCGCAACAAAGTGGCATGTAATCAAGTGGAAATTTATAGCAGCCAAATACGCTAAAGCACACGACAAATTCTAAACGTGGAGAGAAAAACCGGAGTATCCGGAGAAAAATCCACGCAACCACGAGGAGAGAGAGACACGCAAACTCCAAATATGCAGGCGTCATGAACCCACGTTCGATCCCGCTCTACAACACTGCCATTGTAGGCATGGGACATAAGTGGATTGTACGTCTCGTGACACGACACCGAGAGCACAATGTGAATAAACTGGGGGGGGGGGCGGGGGGGAGAGAGAATTGCTGTGGGAATTCGGCAAGTAGAGGGTGTGTGGTTAGCGTGCTGCGCTACAAACCCCGCGACCCGAACTCAATTTCCGCTCACGTCCAACACTAGTGACGATTTTCTGCACCGGTCCTGGGCTTTCCCTAGGTCGGCTCAACCTCAAATGAGTAACTGCCGCGATGAGTAAACATCGCCACTGGGGAGGCAATAGCGGTTGGGTGTGATTCTGGACACCCGCTTCTTCGTGTACCAAAGAGCCCTTCATAGGTGCTCGCTAACAGCAGTTGCCCCAACAGTCTGATGAGGCTATAAGGAGGATCTTTGTCTTATGAGCTTGTCGTCGTGAACAAAGCTTCAAACTCGTACCGGATCGCCGGGCGTTGGTACACGGCAAACAACGCGAGAGCCGTTTGTTTTGATTGGGCAATGTCCGCCTCCAATCGGACGCTCGCGCTAGCGGGTCGACGGGCCGCGGCACCGCTCACGCCTCGCGTACCTTGACGAGCTCCTCGAGGCGACTGTTGGACTGCGCCTTGGACGCGAACAAGCTCGGGTGGAGGTACCCGCCCTCGTTATCGTCGTCATCGTCCTCGTCCTCCTCGTCCGCGGAATTCGCTCTGGACGCTGGCGGGAGAGAAACATTGCCGCAAAGCGGGGGGGGGGGCGAAGTTGTCAAGTGAGCGGGCTCGATGTGAAAATTTCTCATAACTCACTTGTTAATTTTTTTCAGTTTTAGTTGTTTTTTCTATCTCCTATAAACAAGTTGAGTTTTAATACGAATGGTTGTCAAACGAACGCGTTCGGGAGAAGAAATGTGTTTCGTCAGTGTGCGTATCGCTTCCGCTATGACACACGGATCAGAAACATTGACAATAAAAAGCAAAAAAAACCTGAAAAAGTGCAGAGGGGATGGAATTCCACTGCTAGACAAAAAGAAGAACCGCATAGACCACAGGGCATCCAGCGAGCTGAAAACATTATTTTATGAGTGCCAAGAAAGGCGCCTCGTGTGCCAACGTGACCTCAAGAGTCGGCAAGAAAACCAATTACTTTAAAGAGACGCCCGTAAACAGGCGACACGATCTTACGTGCTTTCACACCCACAATGCTGGAAAACAATGCGCTCCACATCCTAATTGACGTGGTTTGAATCACCCCCTGCTTCTTGTCATTGTGGTGACCTAGGTCACTTCTGCAAATGAGACACTGTGTCCTGCAGTCCCTGGAGTTCTCACCCAGTTGGACAAAATAAAGTCGAACCCCTTGTTTAATCCAGCTCATTCCAACCCCCACCCCCGCCCCCGGCTGTAACACTTCCCCCGTGTAATCGAGAGAAATTGTCGCCTGCACTCGGCGCAGATCGAGCTGGAGCGTCCAACGAGACCGTACAGCCCGGATGAACGACGGCTGCGAGTGATACACGCATGTATTGGGGATGTGTTTCCCCCATTTTCGGATTATTCCCGAATAATCCTGAAATATGAAGGTCGGGCCCAAATCCCAAAAATTTGCGATTTTTGCCAGAAATAGCACTTTTTTGCGGTCAAAAAAACGAGGCTTCCGTGATGTAGGCCACGTGTGTTTCGGCGTTACGGTGCAAGTAAATGTTGAGGCTTGGCTCTCCAACACACCGGTGTGCTGTACTAGTGACAAATTGGCACGTTCTGTTTACGTGACAACCCTTACTAGTTTGCTGTGTTGGGTGGTGCCGGGTTTAACGAAGATTTATATATTTACCCGATCTAACCTAAAAAAACCTCTATTATGGAAGTTAAGGCAATTACTCACAAGCTACCTATAAATGGGCAAAACCACATCGCAACACCGCCCCCTGCTGTGAAACTACCGCTATTGCCTGCGCTGCACGGAGTGTAATCGCGATAAGCCTTGCACACCCGTAACGAACGACGACGCGAAGACCAAACGTGCCACACGATGACCCGCCGCAGTCAAAACACGCCTGCCCACCCGTCCACTCCCTCCCGCCCGCCCGCGAACGAGAAGCGATGTCCCCCCGCCGCTCACCCTTCGCCTTGTGCTGCTGCTTGGGATCGGGGATGTGCGTGTACTTCCCGTCCTTCATGCGCTTCAGGATGTGCTTGTAGTAGGGGTTGAGGTAGTGGTCGAAGCGCAGGAAGTCGAACTGGGAGTTGCGCGCCTGCTTCGTCTTCAGCATGATCTCGAACTGCGTGCCCTGCTTGCACACGAAGCCCGCGGTGCGCTCCACGATCGCGTGTGTCTTGAACGTGGCCGGCTGCGGAGTCGCAAGGGCGGGGGGGGGGGAGTCGCAAGCGTCAATGGCGTCGCTGTGGCGTGACCGACGCAACGTGCGCTGGTCACGTGCGGTAATAATAACGGTGAGGCAAGTCCTCGCTTTGCGCGTGGCCTTCGTATGACGCGTTTTACGATTTAACGAGGTTCTCCCACGAGGGAACGCGGACCGCGCACAGATATAACGCCTACAAAGTTAAATTGAAAAATATTTTTTTAGGACTGCTTTTGTGTTTAGTTTTTCATCCTTCCCTCGCACTTCCGATTCGCACGGTTGGCTACATACAGTACAAAAGAAGTTCAGCATACATACGTACATACGTACGGTATAATGCGGAAAAGTGCCCGTTGTAAGACAGTTTCTGAGCGGTCAACGACAAACTACTTTCTTGAGCTGCACGGCTGAGCGGAATGGTAGTGTTAAGCAGAATAAACCAGTAACGCGGCGGCGTTACCCTCAGTTAATTCGTCCCACCATCTCACCGCGTGTGTGCCACGGTACGCCGCATCTCGTCAAAATTTCCCATCATTTCATTTTGCGGGGGAAACTGTTTTACGTTTGACGCATTTTTTGCTGAACGCGGCACTTTGCGGTGAACGCATCGACCTACCACCGCATTAAACGAGGAATTGTTGCAACGATTAGTTGACGACAGCATCCCCGCCTGTACGTCGGGGGAAGGGGGGGCCTCGCAAGAGGGCTTTACACAACCCCTTGCATTGCATCCCGTCTCAAGCATTCGTAAGGACACCACCCCGACACCCCCCCATATCCCTCCACAACTAACACCCCCACACACCCCTCCCCTCTCGCCTCACGCCCAGTGGCAGCTGTCCTTGTACGACACATGGCGACTTGGCATCCGGCCTGCAAATGGGAATTTGTCTGCCAGAAAGGGGGGGGGGGGCAATTATTGTTCTGTGTAATCCCAAACGAGCAATTTTTTTGTCAAATTGGCCAAGCTCGGAACCAACAAGCCGGCACGCGATGGCCTACTCATTCCGAATGGCGCATGGGGATCATTAAACATCCCACTGGGGAGTAGACGGAGTAAATATCTTACAGTGAATACCCCCGCAGAAATAACCAGGGCAGCCTGCCTGATTCGAACCGCCAACGAAGAGGGCAAGGGCGCTACCTGGCTGGCACAAGTCACGGCCCACAGTCGGCACGCACAGAAGCAGTACTGCCGCACGCCCTGGCCGCTTTCCCCTTATTCGGACGATTTTAGCAAAAGATTTTCCGACAATTCCATCGCATAGTTCAATTATGACACAATGTGGTTTTTTGACACAACGGAGAGAGGCCGCAATGCAACACAGTATGGCGGTAAAACAAGGAATCTAAATGCGGGTCCCCGCTTTTTCAACACACTGTACCAAAAACTGTGGGAATATTTATTTTGTGGAGAGAGGCAGTCAGCCAAGGGTGAAGGTGACAAGGAGAGTGTTGAGCCATTCTTGAGCCATTCTATGGGAGCAGCCGAGGAGAATGAGTGGTGTCTCCCCGCCGAGCGCAGGTCGACTGGGGGCTCTCATGGAAAGCCTCGGTTGCTGGAGCGGAGAGTGCGTGGAGGGGAGTAGAGATGAGATGAGAGGTGGGAGAGTGTGCGGAGGGGAGTAGACAGAGATTAGAGGTGGGAGAGTGTGTGGAGGGGAGTAGAGAGAAATGAGAGGGGAGAGTTGGGAGAGTGTGTGGAGGGGAGGAGAAAGAGATGAGTAGGGAGAGGTGGGAGAGTGCGTGTGGGAGAGACGAGATGAGAGGTGGGAGAATGTGTGGAGGGAAGTAGAGAGAGATGAGAGGTTGGAGAGTGCGTGCGGAGGGGAGTAGAGAGAGATGAGAGGTGGGAGAGTGCGTGTGGGAGAGACGAGATGAGAGGTGGGAGAGTGCATGCGGAGGGGAGTAGAGAGATATGAGAGGTTGGAGAGTGTGTGGGAGGGGAGTAGAGAGAGATGAGAGGTGGGAGAGTATGTGGAAGGGAGTAGAGTGAGATGAGAGGGGAGAGGTAGAGGCAGGGGCAAGTCCGTGGAGGATCTTGAAGAGGGGAGAGTGCGATCTTAAAATTGATCTGAGATTGGATTGGGAGTCAGCGAAGGGATTGGAACATCGAGGTGATGTGGTCTCATTTAACGGTTGCGGGTGAGCGGGAAACGGGGTGATGGCACTGTAATGTAAGAACAGAGGCATTAAGATTCAGTCAATAAACAAGCAGGGGAAATAAGAGGAGGGTCGTTAGCCTGGACTTCGAGAGAAGACTCTGTAATACAGGCGAGCCAGGGGAGGCAACTACAGACAGGGGCAGCTGCCAAGAGACAGGCAAATTACCAAGGCATTGTGTTTTGTCCGTTTTGCCGAGGAGCGAATCTGGCGCATAACTCACACACGATTTGCGCGTCAAGTGGCGTACATCTAACGCAGTGGTAGTGGCGCAGTGGTTGGAACAAATCGCTGGGAATGGCAACATCTCTGTCCGGCGCAATTCCCTACGAGTTGGATTCCAGGCCACAGTTGACATCAGCAACGGAGCGCTATCCGATCCGGTCCTCCAAGGTTGCCCCTTTCACAAGCCCGGTGAAGTATGTTCTAACATCAACCACGATCGATACGGCGTAAGGGAAGGCTTTCACCCATCACCGGATTATGTTTTTTAAGTCCGTAATTATTGTTATTATTATTTGTATAAAGTCGATCGTGAACATGGCTACATTACATGGTCTATTTAATTCAGTATTGTATAATGAATCTGGCTGGCTGGGTGGCTTGGTGGATAAGAGCGCCGTGGTTCACAATCGGTAAGTCATGGGTTCTCAAATCCCGGTGAAGAGTCAATTCCGAAGGTTGGTAAAACGAGTAATACTGTGTGAAAGTCAACATTAGTTGTCCTATGGACAACCAATTCCCCTGTCATGGGAATATGGAATTTGCAGCACTGGCTCAGCTCAGAGTTATTAACAGAATAGGAGTCATTCCCTCCGCTCGTATTGTGCAGGAAAAAAAACAGCGAGTTTAACTACATAATGAGCAAATTATTTCAAATTAATTATGCACAACAAGGGCACGACAACAAAGCCATATTCTTACACCACATATTTTCACAACCGCAGCACTGAACATATTTAAGTGCTAAAATACCAAGCACAAATAATATCACAGCCAAAATGTATAAATATACCGCGTATAATAGACATGAATGAATGAATACAAAGTATGCTTGCATACAATGAATCACAAGAAGTGGAATACTACCCGACTAAAATGTGGCACGTATGTATATAAATGTTGTAATTATACCCATGAATACATAACCCTTCTAACCAAGTGACAATTTATATCACGGGGCCCACTGTAAATCTTCAAACGATGCGCATGTTTTCTCCCACTTTCTCCGCTCGAGTTTTACATTTTTCTCACAGGGAACAACCGCAGCAACATTGATTTTCCCGTGTCACCTCTGCAGCCGTGCCGTCTTTAGGCCGCCAATGCCGTCAATTCAATCAGGAGAGAGCGATTACAGAGCGCGAGATAAAATCCGTAACTCTCGCTGTAAATGGAGCCTCTGCGTATGTCCGCCCACAGCATCACTGTTTTCCCCTCGTGAAGTTAAAAGTAGGATAGAGGAAAAAAAAATCAGCAAGTGGCCTGGAGAGCTAATATTTCGCACAAAAGCCATCTTTGTGACCGCTCGACCCCATCCGGCCCGTCTGCTCGCTCGCTCGCTCGGCGACGAACACGCAACCTCTCTATCGACCATCGTGAATCGCGGCTACGGGCCGCAGAAGAGGAGCTCCGCAATCCACGATCCAGGCGCCAGAATTCCGCGAATATTACAACAACCCAAGTACAAAGCGCCGCTTTGTACTTTGAGGATGGAGATTTCTCAGGCAGCCGCAAAGAAAAGAAGCAATTGAAGGCTTCAACAAAGAAACCACCAAATAGGTGACCCGCGCTTTCACTTTTTTTGCGTCGCTGGCGGACAGTCATGGTCTGTCGGGACAAACCGCAGAGGTCTCGGCGAGCAGCTAAACTCTACCGCATATAAATCACAAACTGTAAATGTGTGAGCCATTATGGCAAGCGAAAAAGTAACTTTATTTTGCGCTATTTATTGAGACTTGAAATTATGTTGTTGTTTGAAAATAGGTTCCCCTTTATAACAGTGGGAATGTGCAAATATGTACAGAATAAAAAAAATACGGGGGATTGATTTATTTTTTGGAGGGGACGATGCGGTGCCACAATAGTTGGCGCGCACTCAACTTGCAACCTAGAGGCCGCCGGTTGGATTCGATCTCCACCCAGCGGCATAAAAGGGTTCAAGCTGCAGCTAATCCATCGACGGGTCACGTGCGGTGGTGTGAAACGTGGGTATCTCCAGCCCTTCTAAGATGTCTAACCAGCGGCCGACGAGCAGGCCGAAGGCTCCCTCGAGGAGTTCTTCAGACCTCTCCTCCAGTGGGGGGAGGGGGTGTCACATTGTGCCAGAAGTGGCGTGAGCATGAAGTTGCAAGGGGTCGCCACGCCTTTTTGTTTAACATTTCTTTCATATTTATTTTAAACCCAGAAAAAGAAGACGTTCCCGAGGCGGAACTTTTAAAAGCGAAGCGTTGCAGATCACAACGATGAATCTTGCAAACCGAAGGGAGAAGTGGATAACAATGAAGTTCTTTCCAGTAGCAATCCAGCGGGGGGCATTATTTCAAAGCATATTTCCAATTACGTGCAGGTGGCTGCCGCAAGCTCCCTTCACACGCGGGAGCTACCCAATTTGTTTAAATCAACGGAATGGATGCAGTTTCATGTTAATGTAAAACAACGCTCCCTTCGCAGCCGAATGTGTAATTTTAATAAACACTTTCTGGACACGTCTGGAAATTTAAGCGCTCGGAAAGGTGCTGTCCTCGAGCAGCATTAAACCCACAACCGATTCTGCATTTACAGTGAGCGCCGCCGCCACTTCAAAGATTAAATGTTGATACGAGCCACACACACCTATACACGATCTTTTTTCAATCTCTCCAAACTAGATTCCCACTTCCAGGTCCACCCATACACCACCGCCACCACCACCTGCCACTATCCCCTCTCTCTCTGCTGCAAGCCCTCCAAACCCCCCCACCCCACCCCACACCACCACTAAACACCCCAATTTTTTTAATTAGTTTTAACACCGAGCAGTCACGGCGGCACACACAAACTTGGCGGCGACCCAGGCCCTCGGCCCAAACATTTTATTGCGCTGTGCTGCGGGCGGCCGGGGTGGAATTTTAAATGCCGCGGGAAATTACCTCATCACAGGCCCGCCATGTGCAGCGACCCCGTCATTAACCCCTGCTTCCATCAATCTGTTCTGGCACCGCGAGAGCCACGCGCGGCCGTTGTAAAGGTCACCTCACACTGATAACCAGGGAGCCACTTCCTTTCATCTATTTTCACTTTCCTCCCCGCGCAGCAGCCCCCCCCACCCTCAATCCTTCCTGTGCCCCCCTCCACACCCCTCCCCTGCCAAACCCTACCGTCTCCCTCTGAAGCCCATCAATTTTATCAGTGTGAATCTACAGGGGGTGGGGGGGGCTGGGGAGACCGGCCAGACTTGCGATCAAAGCAAAGGGGGCCCAGCCACCATGACGGTGAAAGTAAATGCCAACCCAAGGTCAGAGATTTGAAAATGACCCACTTAACTTCACTCCGAATATATAACGTAACCGGCAAGCATCAATGGCCACAATGGTCGGCGTGCATTAAGCGATTCGACATATTTGCACTCACCACTTCCATGCCCGAGGGTAATTTAAGCTCTTCTGGGGCAATGAACGGCTCTTCGTTCACCTCCGGCTCGGGATTTTTCTCGACTGCAGGCAAAACTGGCACAAAATTCCCGACAGATGAGAAGAAAAAAAACACATCGCATACGATAAAACTCTGTCAAGGCAATCTATAAACTATGGTTATTTCAGGTAAGGCCCACTGAGCTGTATAGCTCTTTTTCAGAAGCAACCTGGCCACGAATGATAGCTGAACGAAGTGGCTCATTGTCCATGCGGAAAATTATAGGAGCCAAATACTCCATACGCACGTTGATTCTAAATGTGGAAGGAATCATCGGAGGACTCCAGGATTAAAATAATCGACGTGACCATGGGGAGACATGCAAACTCCAAATTTACAGCAGGCGTCAGGGTTGGGATCGAACCCACAACCTCCTGTATACCAGGCGAGGTGGTTCACATCTCCGAGCCACAGTGGCGGCCACAATCACGAAGGGGACCGCAGTCAATGGGCTTGCGGGACGTTTACAAGGGAGCGGCGTGCTTGTTGTTGGCGACGAAAATGTCAAGACTCTTTGAAAAAAGTACGGTCATGGGTTATTTTGTGCGGGGAAGAAAACGCAAGGTTAATGAGAATCGGAGCTGCAACGGTGCATTATAAACTGCAATTGGCCTGTAATGCATACAGAAAACAGAACAGAAGTACAATCGTAAACCAAATTGCAGCTTATTGAGAATAATAACTTACACAGCTGCTTTGTCAATCCACCAGCGGATGAAGGCCTCCCCAAACGCAGTGTCAGCAATGGGGGTTGTTTGACCATACCTCACCGTGCTGATCAGTGCGGGTTGGTGAAGGACGGGCGCCACGGTGGAAAAATATTAACTAACTGGCCTGGTATACAGGAGGTCATAAGTTCGATACCAACCCTGACACCTGTATATTTGGAGTTTGCGTGTTCTCCACGTGGTCGCATGGATTTTCCTCAGGGTCCTCTGGATTTTCCCTCCACATTAAAAATCACCACGCGTTTAGAGTATTTGTCTGCTATAAGTGTCCATGCGATAATCCACTTCGTTGAGCTATCATTCGTGGCCATGTCGCTTCTGAAAAAGAGCTATACAGCTCAGTGGGCTTTAGCTGGTAAAATAAAAAGAAATTAAGTTTCAGTTTCAAGAATTCGAAGGGCGAACCAAAATGACACGTCCTCGCTTGCACTTTGGACAATAACGTCGCCTGGCATTCCCTTCCTCACGGGCCTGCAGAATTTCTATTCCTTCTTCCCCTCTGCTCAAAATAAAAGCAATTATGGTGCGCAGGGTCGTCTATTTATATAGCATGTGGGGGCTGAGGTCGCATTTTTTTTGACGCTTAATAACTTCCAATTGCGTTGCGATGTATAAAACACGACCCCAAGATTTCTCGGACCAAGCCGCTTGACTTCCGGGACGCGAAGCGACACCCTGGCATGAATGCAGCTCGCGGGCATCTCATCGTTAAACAACAGTAGCTGGGCACAGACCCAGAAGCCTGTAATGCCAATCAGAGCCAGCGACAGACGGCACCATTGATGCCGTCGCAAAAAGACGAGGAAGCGTGCAGCCTGGATCGCGCTTGGCGTGGCGACCACCGTCAACGTTGCAAGCTGCAGGGCGCCGAGTTTTTGGGGGTGAAGTGGAGCAAAGCTATTGTTGTACTGTACTGCTCTTGTGCCGATGGCCCCTGCCTTCATCAACCCACACCGACCGGCGTGCAGCGAGGTGTGCTCTGCAAATGCCCATGCCCTGCATGGCGTAGCGAGGTCTTTATCCGGCAGTGCATTGACCACATGGTTGTTCAGGTGTACATAGGAACTAGAGAAACAAGACAACGGCAGTTCAAAGGTCGAACAGTGCGAGGACAGCAGGAGCAAGAGAAATGCCGAGTCCTTGACCAAGGTGGTTGAACACAGCATGGTGGTAATTTGGCCTTCTCTTCCACGCTTGCCGGTCGTCTTGGAAGAGGCGGGCATATCCACACTTCATCTCACCACACGCAACCTGCCGATCGACTAACCGCGGTGTACTCATTCATACTGCTGGGTGGCCAGAAGGCAGGGTGGCGTGGGTGGGGGGTGGGGATGCAGTGATATTAATATCCTTGCACCGGTCGTTTAACTGCATCTGTTGTGCATGCCCGGGTGCGCTGGCTATTACAGCACGGTGACATCCGTGACCGTAGCAGCAGCGGTAGTGGCGATAAAAGAGGGCCGACGAGGAAGCAAAAACGGCAACGTGGTTTCTCTCTGGCCGCCGTTACCGGCGGGTGCTGGCGGCGGCTGGGTTTTGGGGTGCGCGTCCTCCTCCTCCGTGGGCTGCGTGGGGTCGTAGTACTCATCGCCGTAGGAGAAGCCCACGGCTCGGTAGGCGCCGTCCTCCGCCAGCTCCTGGTGCAGCCGTTTGTACTCCTCCTCTGCGAGAGCGAAGGAACACGCGCGAGGGGTGGGTCGGTGGGGGGAAAGATTTGCCACGGTCCAACGCGCGCAAGGGGAATGTGACCCTCGGCAAGCCCGTGGAAAGCGCCGCCAGTAAACGCTGCATCGGCATTTAATGCGATGAAACAAAAAAAACGGAGAAACCGCACGCGCGCACTACCGCCGAAACGAGAGTCAACAAAAGCGTCGTCGTTTTACGCGAACGCGGCGATGACAGCGACAATAAAGACAATAACTTCGCAGCCATGCGAGACCAACGGCATTAATGAGATATCACGGAGGTCTGCTGCGGCCCTTTACAATGCCGCAAGCAGAACACTGGGGCAGGGATTTATTGGTCTACCACAGCAACTTTGGGGTACTAAAAATTTTAAATGTTATCTTGGGGACTTGAAATATTAAACAGCATCGAGGGCGAGGAGCCGAAACCGGTGCTGCCGAGGTTCTGGGTTCGAGGCCAGGTTTCGGCTGCCGTTGATTAAGCGCGGATCTCGGTAGCGAGTTCACAGTACTCAGTCTGGTCACCGATGACCGCTCAAAGAGCGATCATCATTTTAATGCATCTAGTTTCGTACTTTATTCGGCCGAATGATAGCTCTGAGAATTAATAGAACGCTATCGGTTTGACTGTGATCTAGCAATCTCATCGCAGAGCGTGGAGGAAAAGTGCCCTCCCCCTCGTGTAAAGGCTAAAAAGAGGCTATTGAAGGTTTTCAAGAAAACATGCGAATAATTGCTTGCGTGGGTTAGACAGGACTCACCGTCTCCGTGAGACTTAAGAACGGACTTTGTCCGACGCCAATATTGTTAGAGTAATATATTTGGAAATTCTAAATATATAAAATGATCATAATGTCCACTTAACAGATTGGTGGTCAGCGTTTTGGGAAACTCAGGGTTATTTATGCCCACCAGATCACCCCAATCGTTGACTCGTGGCCAGGTCTGATGGTATTTAAAATGTCAAATATATTCATTGCATACTACCCTCTCTGGAATGGCCAGAAAGATGTTTAATTTATTCAGCCTTGTTCATGAGCCAAGCCTAAAACGAGAAGAGCCCAAAACTTTTGCTTAATCAACTCTCCACTGACTAATTTCGCCGCACGAAACTTAACAACGTTAACATACAGAGGTCATGGGAGTCAATGCTGTTGATGTCGGCCTCCGAGCTGTCACTACTTTACTGATGCTAGATCCCACCGGCCATTGCAAACATTACATCCAATTTTAAGGCATGTCGCAATGCATCAATTCATAATTTGCCGCATTCATTACATTTATACGGCATATAAAAGGCGATCCACTCCTCTTAAATTTAAGCCGAGGGACCTAACAAAACTGTAAGAGCGAGAAATAGATGGGAAAACGATGAAAATAGAAATGTGATGAAGAGGAATCAAGTATTTAACCGAATCGTGATCCTGAATACTATCTTGATCACGACCAGAACACAAACTAGGTCTACGCTCATCTACTCCGGATGAGCTCCAGATGAACTAAGCCTACAACTACATCTCCTCCATAATAATTCATAATAAACGTTTTGGGGTTAAATCTCGTTATTTATAAATGTGTCATAACCCTCCACCACCCGACACGGCCAATCACCAAAAAAGTGTCACGTTGACAAAAGACAAATAGTTCACTACTTTAGCCCATCGGTATGTTGAAGAGTGAAACCACAACATTTACAATTTTTGAGTACGACGTTTCGCTGGTAATTGCATCCAGCATCATCGGGCAATTCGCCAGAATGGTGAGGCTCTGCTGTTGCTCCCGGTCTTAAATGGAGCAGCAGCAGCAGGGTGACGTCATCATTTAACTCATCAGGTGCAACGATTTGAGGGGGAGGGAGTATTGTAATTATATACTAGATTGGTAATCAGGCAATTGTTACGATGTGAGTTGTAGATTGGTAATCAGTTGTAATGTGTGTTATTGTAATTATATGCTACATTAGTATTTATGTTTCCACGTGATGATAAGCCACCTCGTTCAGATATAATTTGTGGCCAGGTCACTTCTAAAAAAAATGTACATAGCTCAGTGGGCCTTACTTGGTAAAAAATAATGTTTATCGTAAAAAGATTTAGTTTGTATGCATGTTCAAATTCTTTTGCACCGTATGTAGCCAACCTTGCTAATCAGAGGCGCCGGGGGAAGGACACCAAACTAAACACAAAAAGCAGTTCTAAAGAAATGAGTCTGCAATCTAAGAAATCAGTTTTCAATCTAGTTGATCTTAAGACGAGTCAACGACAACCCGTAGAACTTTAAGCCAAGGTGGTCTGCGGATTTAATTTAGTGGGCATCTAATGACCACACCAAGGGGCGGTGTGTGGGTAAGTGGGGTTCGTGGCGGGCAAGGGTGGGGGTCACACCATGCCGCGCCTCCTCGTCCAGCAGGTTGGTGGTCAGCGCCAGGTAGCGCTCGACGTCGCACAGTGCCTCGATGCGAACCTCCTCCTCCGAGAGGTCGTAGCTGCGGTTCCACGTGTACTCCGCGTCGTACTCGGAGAGGTCGTGCAGGTGACCCCTCCCGTCGTACCTGCCGGCGGCAGAGGCGGGGATCGGGGGGGGCCAGGGGAGAGGGAGTTAGCGGTGCTAGGGGGCCTCAGGGACCGGTCGGTCCGGTTCACGTCGATACTTACCCCCCCACCCACTCCCTGCGGCACCTCGAAGCGCGCCAGGAAAACCGGAGAGAAAACGACAAACGGGGAAAATTGCTACTGCAGCGGGCAGCTCTGTACAGTGGAAATCGTACAAACTTGTGCATCACTCCAACGCTAAATGAAAAAACACCGACGCTTATTAAGGCATCTCGGGGCTAACACATCGTGTCACGTCTAGGTAATTATGACATTACGAAGCCACCATCAAATTTAACTCTCGCTATTGGCGAGTATATTTAACTTTCAGGGGGTGAGGTCAGTGTGTCCTTACATGAAAAGCATATCAACATCGTATGTACAGCAGTGTCTTTAGTACGTGGGAAAAAACATTAAAATGCTGTTGTAACCAACATGTAGTCATACAATTCTAGCTCGGTTAGGCATTACAATTAACTGATGGCAATAATGCAAACAACTATATAATCTGGGCAGTGTTTCATCATGGTATATATGCTGTGATACATACTGTAGTTTGTAGAGATATATTGTTATGCCATGTTTAGATGTTTCTTACCGTTACCGCTCGTTTGACCAGTGAACCTGTCACACAATCACTGCAATGCCTCGACCACCTGCGTTAAACCAAAACTCAAACACATTGTAAGTCGAGAAAGTTACAGAAACTTTGTACCCATCCGATTATAGTTACCTTATCTTATTTTGTTATTTTTGTTGTTGTCATTAAAGACGCAAGCGAATTTCTTGTTTTTTTTTACAAACATCTCTTTTAATCTTGTAGCTACCCACCGCGAGTTTGTGTGTCTCGGGGCTGATTGAGATATTCTGATGAAAAGGACTTTACAATGCATGGCGCGGGCTGGGGGGAAATGTGGCGTGGTTGGCACAATGCTTTAATGGCATTGCATTGTTCACCCTCTAGCGAGGTGTTAAGATTCCCGTGCGCGGCTAACATCAGTGGCGAGCGAAAGCCGAACCGATTCAGGGGGCCACTCAAAGTTCACCAAATCCCGCACCTGACCAGCGAGGTTCAAACGACCGCAGGAAGGCCGCCTTCGTTCATCCAGCAGTGGATTAACGAACTTAATTGGTAATAGAAGACTTCGGTTTCTGGGAGATAATCGGAGAATGGGTAAAAATAAGACTTTGGTTTATATCGGAGGGGGTAATGTGGGCACTGGCGCGATTTTAACACTACCGCAAGTGCTATTACTTTACGTATTGCCAGACACACAATCTCAGGCAGGTATCTACAACATGAAGATATATTTGTGTTGGTGTTTTTTTTAGCAGCAGAAGCGGCGTTTTACTTTGCAACAAAGGTTTAAATTTAAAGAAAAACCCCACGAACCCGAACCTTCCCACGGAATTCCCCTCACGAAAACAATTGTCGGCACCGGAGCACGAGCCTACGGTCTCGCCTGAGCCATCCCTGCGGGCGCGAGGCGCGGGCCTACGGGCAGGGGGAACCAGGCAAGACCGGTGGTCGCGACACATTTACCGGAGACGTGGGTAGGCCCAAAATGCGAAACTAAAAACATCATCATCATCAGCAGCAACGAACTTGGCGTATAAAAACAACAAAAACATTTACAACCGCAGCGGCGAAAGAGAGAAAGTCCGCGATGGAAGTCGCGTTTTATCGGCAGTTTTGTTTGCGAGTGGCGGGTTTTTTTTGTTATGTATGTATATGTGTGTGCGAAATGTTCGTTCGCTCGTTCCGGGGCAGGAAAGGAGAGGGGGTGGTGAGGGGGGGTTGTTGACAGACCTATCCATCCGGATGGACTCGTCGCCCATCCACGGAATGAGGTGGACTCCTCTATCGAGCGATCTCGCTCTCTCGTCGTCGCGAAACACTTTGCACGCGTAACCGAACACCAGGAGCTCGTCCTTGACGCTGCCCGGCGTTGCCATCGCCTTTGCCATGAGCGGCGGAGGTAGGCGGGCGGGCGGGGTGAGGGGGGGGTCCCTTTCCGACACCGCCACACCAGCGGGAACGAACAAAAAACGCAACAAATTGTGTTTTTTTTTTCCCCGTGCTCGACAACGCGGTTATATTTCCTAGTCGAGATGGGGGGGCCTACAGAGCGCGGGCGCTCGCGCGGAGAACTGAAGGCCCTTCCCGATTGGACCGTGAGGTCGGTCGCGATCTTTGGCCGCTCATTGGTTGCAACTTGCGGAGGGGGCGGGGCGCGGAATCTCAGGCCCGCGTGGCTGGGGAGTTGGCGGGAGATGAGGCGGCTGCGCGTCTGCGGGTTCGAATTCAAGTCCCGGCGCTTTGTGATAATATAATGTGATCTTTAATAATAATAGAAATGTTATCATGATTTCATGTAATATTTCGCCCCCCCCCCCAAAAAAAATAAACATTCGTTAATAACACTGCGGCCTTAAAATAACCAAAAATATGAATGTATATATAAAATGCAGCATCACCAAATGAGTCATGTAATAATTATCTTCTTGGTTCTTTCGGTAAAGTCACGTAGAAGGGAAGTAATAAAATAATAAAAATAAAACATAATAAAACAATTCTCACGACGTTTCGGCCACAACGCAAGCAGCCGTCCTCAGGTGAAAACCAGGTCCGTCGAGGCGACAGAGTCTGAATGAAACAGCACACGAGCTTGGAGCATATATATAAGCTGGGCGCATAGACAAAGGAATTTGCATATCAAAAGGAATTTAGCATATGTATGGGAAATGCAGGAATGTGATTAGTACTGCATATGAATTATGCAGGATTAACAGCATCAAAGGGAGCTGCAGTTACTGCTGCTGCTGCAGTTTCTGCTGCTGCTGCAGTTGCTGCTGCTGCTGCTGCAGTTGCTGCTGCTGCTGAAGTTGCTGCTGCTGCACTTGCTGCTGCTGCAGTTGCTGCCTTATCCATTTTAATATAACACTATGTATTATTCTACCCACCCTAATGTGTATCACACTGCTATATGTTTACTATACAATTACGACACCATACATTACTCTGCACACTGCACCATGCCAGTGAGTGGAACGCGGTCTGAAAGTCACCGTAAACGTGAACACAATCAGTTAAGATCCGAAATGGTTTATTACGTCCTTCCAATGATTGCTAAGCCAGAATCCATCTTCTCGGTTGAAATTGTCTCTGTGTTTGTATATGTGGATCGCCTCATGAACGAATCTCTCATGATAGCCAGATGGCTTGCAGAGAACCTCTGTCTTGGAGAAGTCAATGTCATGTGAGCCCACTGAATTGTAACAGTGATCTGCCACGGCTGAGGTGTTTGTCCTACCGTGTTTCAGGTCTGCCTTATGTTCACGGATGCGGTCCGAGACATGTCGTTTGGTTTCTCCAATGTAACTGCTACCACAGAGGCAACTTAGTTTGTAGACGCCAGGATACTGTATGTCTGGAACCACATCTTTTACAGACGGGGACCAGATCACGGATTTTATGTACTGTGTTGAATCGGACCTGGATCTTGTGTTTAATCAGGATTTTGGAGATCTTTTTTGTGACCCCAGCAATGTAGGGTAAGGTGATGGTCTTGAAAGGCTCCTCAACAGGATCCTTCTTGATGGTTGGAGTGATGGCTTTGCGGATTGTGTAGTCGGAGTAACCATTAGCCTTAAGAGCTTGGCGTACGTGTTTGAGTTCACTGGAAATGTGTTCATGGTCGGAGATGCATTGGGCTCTATGATATAGAGTCTTGATGAGGGAATTCTTCTGGGATGGATGGTGGTGGGAATCCGGTTTTAGATAAGCATCCGTGTGGGTGGCTTTCCTGTAGACAGAGTGGCTCATTGAACCATCAGGTCTCCTTTTGATTAGGACATCCAAAAAGGGTAGCTTGCCATCATTTTCGACTTCCATGGTGAATCTGATGGCTGGGTGTATGGAATTGATGTGGTCGAGAAATTGGTCCAGAGCAGGCCGGCCATGTGGCCGAAACGTCGTGAGAATTTTTTATTATGTTTTATTTTTATTATTTTATTACTTCCCTTCTACGTGACTTTACCGAAAGAACCAAGAAGATGAATCCCTGCAGTCACGAAAGCTTTAAATCGAAATGTAATAATTAGTTTTATAATTATTGATTTTCAATGTTTAATTTTTTAAACCCTGTATTCATTTATTTTCAATTATTGCCCGTGGCCAACCCAGGACCGAAGCCCCCCCCCCCATCTCTCGCCCCCACCCCTCGCCCCCCTCTCCCCACCCCTGGCCCCCCACCCCACGCCCCTCGCCCCCCCTCCCCCCACCCCTCGCCCCCCTCCCCCCACCCCTCGCCCCCCCTCCCCCACCCCTCGCCCCCCCTCCCCCCACCCCTCGCCCCCCTCCCCCCACCCCTCGCCCCCCCTCCCCCCACCCCTCGCCCCCCCTCCCCCCACCCCTCGCCCCCCCTCCCCCCCACCCCTCGCCCCCCCTCCCCCCACCCCTCGCCCCCTCCCCCCACCCCTCGCCCCCCCTCCCCCCACCCCTCGCCCCCCCTCCCCCCACCCCTCGCCCCCCCTCCCCCCACCCCTCGCCCCCCCTCCCCCCACCACTCGCCCCCCCCTCCACGAGTCTAATTAACCGAGTCCTCAACGTGGGTCGGAGGAATCAATGAGTGAAGTTCTTGAAAACAGAAGCACTGGGGAGCCGAAGTAGTAATGATGTTTTCTTTTGTCGGTGGGGGGGGGGGGCTTTCTGTTTAGGCAAGGGAGATGACAAGACACAGAGATGTCTAGAGAATTGAGATTGTACAGATGAGAGAGGTGTACGTGAAATGAGAATAACAGGAGAAGAAGTTACATGAAAGAGAGATACAGGCATGACCGGGATGTGAGAGATTAATTAACTGGGGCTTTTTAATGTTTGTTAAAATTTTAATTGAATTTCGCACACCGTTTTTCCCTTTAGAATGTAGGTTTTTGTAGCCACTATAATGATCAATACTAGTTTTTGGGTTGGGTCACGTGGTATTAGTTTTTGGGTTGGGTCACATGGTGGTAGTTTTTGGTTTGGGTCACGTGGCCGTAGTTTTTGGGTGTCATTTCAATTCCCGTGCGCGTACAGCGGGAATATGAATTATTATTCATTTCTCAACATTTCTGAGAATGTATTCACGTAAAATCTTGATTTGAAGCTTTCGTGACTGCAGGAATCCATACTCTTTGGTTCTTTTATATTTACGTGACTTTACCAAAAGAACCAAAGAGTATATATTCACGTAAAATATTGTATTTACTGCAAAAGTAAATACCATAAATCGGACTTAAATATTGCCTAGCTGTCGTGTACAAATCTATGCTGAAAATGTCGTGTCTCTATGTTATCTGATCTCAGAAACATTGGTTGGACAGACGGATGGACGGACAAACCGAATAATTGTCTCTGTTTAAAAATAAATACGCTTAAAACACGTTGAACGGAACATAGGGGCAAAATGTTTCCCAATTTACCAAAAACCTCAGCCTAGATCTGCCCTTGGAGTTTTGAGGAGGGGACTCGGATTTCATGGTTGGCCTCGGGCTCTGCCAGTTGCAGGCAGCTAATCCAGGCCGCCCCTGCACATGACTGAGCCCCAAAAAACCACTATGGCTCCGTAAACTAAACTATTTTTTTATTTACCAAATAAGGCGCACAGAGCTATGTAGCTCTTTTTCAGAAACGACCTGGCCACAAGTGATAGCTGAACGAAGTGGCTTATTGTCACGTGGACATTTCCAGTAGCAGCCAAATAATTTAAACGCGTGTTTGTAAATGTGGAGGGAAAAACCAGAGGACCCGGAGAAAAATCCACGGGACCGCGGGGAGAGAGAGAAAGCATGCGAACTTCAAATATAGAGCAGGCGTCAGGGTCGGGATGGAAGCCACGACCTCCTGCATACCAGGCGAGGGAGATAACATCTCTCCACCGTGTGCGCCCAATAATATATTATGGGAGACCTAATGAGCTACTGTGTTTATGTACTCAAGACGTTGCTCAGTTTGCTTATACTTAGCCCCCACCTCCCTCCCAATGACAACCGCTTACTCCTGCCCCACACCTCCTTGTCTTGCCACTGCTGTCTTTGATCAAGCAGTGAGCAAGCGCCGTGCGTGGATGTCAAGGCGCCCTCCCACCACCACCATCATCATCTTCTCCAACACCCGCGGTCGTGACTTTTTGTTGTTGTCGTAACTATACCCACGATATTTGTTACAACAACAACAACACGAACGCGTGAAATAACCACGACGAGATTTGAAAATGCTGTGCTATAAAATAGAGGACACCCCGCTGGTTTTGTTTGAGAAAATGGTTGTGTCTCGTTGTTGTTGTTACAATTGGTGGCTGTGACCATGACCGATGACTCTGTGTGGGGAGCGGTGGTACAGCCGTTAGCGCGCTGCGCTACGAACCTGGCGGACCCAAGTTCGATTCCCCGCACACAGCCAACGCCGGTGACGATTATCTCAACCGGTCCTGGTACTCCCGCACGGTCGACTCAGCCTCAAATAAATAACCTGGTGTGGTGTGTACACATCACCCACTGGGGGGAGACAAAGGCGGCCGTGCGTGGTGTTGGCCACCCACCCCTTTGGGGATCTTTGTGTGTGTGGAGCGGTGGCATAGGGGTTAGCGCACTGCACTTTGTTTGTATGTATGTTGAACTTCTTTCGCACCATACGTAGCCAACCATGCTAATCGACCTCAGCCACCCGAGTTCGATTCCCCCACACGGCCACTAACATCGGTGACGAAATATCTGAACTTTAAAATCCAAATTGAAAACGATTTTTTTTTTAGAACTGCTGTTTGTGTTTTCGTTTGTTGTCCTGACCCCGCCACCCCCTTATTAGCATGGTTGCCTACGTATGGTGCGAAAGAAGTTCAAGATACGTAGTGCAGTGCGACGGGGTTGACCGACAGGACACGAAACTCCTCACTGTGTGTGGTCAAACTGAAGGGGTTTCGCACGCACAGCTCCGCTTTGTTCCTTGCCACACGCCCACACACATTCCCTCGGCCCACCATCGCTCTTCCTCCTCTCCTCTGCTTCTCAGCGCCAGGTTCCGAAGGCATCCCCATCTCCCCTTGTACCGGCAAGAGATAAGGAAACATCTGACGGACGCCTGGGACATCTCAACCTCCAAGACAAAACCTCCGAGGCAAA